GGGGGGGGGGGGGGGGGGGGGGGGGGGGGGGGGTATTCTTGGAATAGATGTTGCGGCTTTTAGACTAGAAAGATGAAATAGTAGAAAAAAGTTACCTACTTCCGAAACCCTTGAAGAATCCGGACTCACTCTGCATGGTGCATGTGATCACGTGAAGGGACCGCGAGAGACGACATATTGTCAACAGGGGGGATCGGACAGAGGATAATTACAGTCCTCATGCCGTTCACGTACACGACGTCCTGACCAGCTTTGCAGCTAGAGGTCAGATCACAGTGGAGCTTTTCGCACCTCTCTCCACCACCGCTTGCTCGTCACCCAAAGGCCGAGCACTCCTGAAGCTGGCTTCTCAGATTGCGTGGCTGTTGGTGGGCGTTGGGTTTCTAAGGATGTTGCTAGCACCGGGATCTGTGCTGATAAGCAATGGCATCACACGTGCGGGACTACCATGTCTTTGTGTTGATAGTAGTTGGCAAAGCATGGCTCTCTAGCTCGGGTACAACTACACATGGCTCTATCGTCTCCACGGTACCGCATATCCTCTATGTCTCATCAGCCAACTTCACATTGTGGGTGTCAACGCTGACTTCTGCGAAGTAGCAAATGCATTCTTGACCGTGGCCCTCGTGACTACTACAACGACTGAGTGGGAACCCCATCCCCAGTGGTTGCGGGCATTGCTACTACTTGGTTACCCTCCTTGCGACAGTAGAGGGCGAAAGAGCCGCCAGTGAATGGAGCCCCGCCGAACTGGAATGCCTCTTCAAAGGGACTGAGGAAGCTCAATTTGCTGAGAGACACGTTCGTACGGCAGCCCTGGACCAGTGATGCCGTCGGTAAGAGTGCAGAGGTACGCCAAGTCAGCCGGAGGGAATTCGGCCACCTCGACATTCAACTCGGCGATGCGCGTCCGGATGGCAGCAAAGCATTCCTCCCTTCCCGTTCGCCTTGATAATGTAGTCTAGTGTAGCATCTCGCGTGCCAATTGCCACGCCTCTTAGCCCTTCCTTTGTCTAATACAGGGTATAATATACAGTAAAGAAAATCTTTTCAGAGATCCTTGAACCACCTATGCTCTAAGGCCTCGTGCGCAGTGATCCTCCTCGCTGGATCGAAATTTGTTAGCCCACTAATGAGGTCTTTGAAATCTGCGTCGATGCCAGCATAATTCTTCCATGAAGAAAACGGCTTACGGGGATTCTCCTTATTGAACCCATCTCGAAGAGCTTCGAATACTACACGCCAACGATTGTCGCCAAGGTACCTAAGAAACGCAGCTAGTGTGTCTTCCTCTGCAAAATAAGATATCTGACGCTCAATAACGATAGATAGTGGCTCCAGGTCGTTGTCCAGCTCTTCCTCGTCAACGGCGAAAATTACCCGCTTTGTGACGGCATAAATACACTATACAAGTAGAGAATTAACACCCAAGGAGGTCTGATGGGTCTCGCAACTTACCACAACACCGAAAGAGAACATATCTGAGGGCTTGCCAAGGCCAGCTTCGGAGTGGGCTTCTGGGCTACGCCACATGTAGTTCCCCACTTGTGTACCGATAATGTGGGATCCAGGAGGAACATGGGCAGCGTCTTCAAGATCGCCGAGCTGGACCCGCCGAATAACTATCTCCTCCGAGTCATTCTCCCGGTCGATGAATATATTATTCGCCTTGATATCTATAACCGTCAGTATGGTCGTGAAAGAGGAGCAAGTCTAGAACCATTATTTCCTACCCGTGTGAACGATGTTTTGATCATGTAACGCTGCCAGCCCCCGCAGTGTATCTTTGAGGATTCGTTTCGTGACGGCAAGAGGTAGATCTTTCTGGGCGAGACTTAGGAGATGATCGGTAAAATAGTGGTACACAAGTGTTGCTTCTTCGGGTATGATATCGTGTGATAGGCGTAGATACGGACAGCTGCGTAGAGATCGATACATATCCATACAGCCGTTGATGTCTTCTGCGAAAAGATTCTTCAATACGAATTTTTGATTCTCGGCGCTGGGATGTGCCTGAGTTAGCAACTGTATGCTATTCACCTTCAAGGGCACGCACGAAGCAATGTAGACGCGCAGTGGCGAAATTCCATTAGGGAACTCTTTCTCTTGGAGGACTCGTTCGATGTGATAATGACGGCCAGACTGGCCGACTAGCTCCTTCGTTGTAGATTCCATGGTCGATATATGATCCTGTGTGCGATTCGATGGAGATCTCGGTAACGTCGTGCCTTTATAACGACGGAGGATGGCAACTGCAGAAGGTAAAGGAATCGGGGAACGAAAGGACGCGAATCGGGAAACAGCGGGGTATGAGCACCTCAGGAAGAGAAATGGTTGTGAGAGTAACATGGAGGCTGGATTGATCGATGTAATACGGCGTACATTTGTCCGGTCATCACAAGGTATGATGATTGCTGCTGTTGTTGCAAAAGCGAGAAGTGCAAAATCCATTACGGTAGACTATGTCGACAAGACAGATACATGGACGCGTCCAACCAACTATCCTTCAACCAACGTCAAAGCGGAGTTTTCCCAGGTCGTTGAGGACAACGCCAGCTCCCTCCACGATGACACAGCTAAAGTTGCTATGAAGTATGCCTTTAGGTCTTGCGTCGCTAGTCTATCTGAATGCTAACTAGTAAAACAGGGAGTCTGAACATCAGAGTGACAAGGATAAGCGGAAGCATTACACTGCCTTTGAATTAAACCAGGATGGCAAGGTTATCAAGGTTTCTCACTTTGTCAAGGTCATCTAGAGTAGTGAGATCGACAACTACACCTGGTAGAGATTCCCCGTGGGGAGAGGGATATGTCAGGGCATGTGACCCTCGCTTATTTCTGTATATAGCACAGTCTGAATAGCTTCATCAATCCACAGACTTACACACACAAACGATCAGGGATTGAAACCTTACAGGATATCCGCCGGGCTTAGGTATCTGAGAAAAGGTGGGTAGGCGTTGAGAATAGATGACTACGACTTAGGATTGTATTTATTACAGTAATACCTCTTAAGCGGGAGGGGAGTATTGATCGTGCCAACGCAAATCGCAGTCGAACCCACGCCTCTTTCTATGACCAAGCATCTTATTCCATCAGAGGAGGAAGGAATCGACGGTCGATTATTGCGCCCCCTATCTTCTGGATCGGGATATATATGGGCTTACCCTGCGTCCCGACTACGAAAAGTCCTGGACTTCGCACAGCTACTTCTTCTTAACTTGTAGAAGCGGCACATTTCAGCTCGGGATAAAGTCCAACCACGGATGCGCTAGGAGTTCTTTCGCGGTGCTTCTCTTCTCTGGGAGCCATTGAAGCATATGACTGATGAAATCAAGGAATAGCTGTTTATCCTCCCCTTCAAGAGAAGTAACCGAGTCTGAGAGAGTCATATTGCTCGGGATGAGGTGGTTATATAGGAAATCGCCTTGTAGAAAGAAGTTGGAGTTAGATTTTTGTCTTTCGGAGGGAAAATATAGCATAGGTAGGTACCTTCTGGACTGAAGAAAGGTCCATTGAAATACTCGCGGGCTGTGTGGCAAGGTGTGCCTTCTGAATTTAGAAAAGGTTGGCTCCATTTGACTTCACTCCACCTTTTTTCTCTTTCGACGAGTACTTTCGGTGGGGGGCCTAGTAATGCAATTATCTCTGCAATATGTGCTCGGCTGTCGTAGGTCCCTTGGCTGGAAAGAATATTCCTGAACAAGTCTTTGTTCTCCATTAACTCCCAGATCTACCTGAAGTTAGCTTGGTTCTTCTGTGGCTTTCAGAGAGTCAAAGCGCACGAGTACGCCGAAGTTCCAAATATCAGCGCTGTATGACCAGCTGGTGCCTAGTAAGACCTCAGGGGCTTGGAAGATCGGGGGTTGGATAGGACGTGTGAGAGGGCTGTGGCCGTCACCAAACTCTGCCAACCCAAAATCCGCGATCTGGGGTATGATACGCAATGACCTCAGCTGCCCGAAGTCATTATGCGATAGGTAGACTGATCGGCCATCCTTGACCTTTCGCGCCATGGGATGTTCGGCCAGTTTTCCGACGAAATCTTCGAGTACGGATGGATGGTCAACCTCAAATCCCATAAGAATATTGTCTAGTTTAAGGTCTATTGCAACGTCAGTGTTTGTATAAATCGATGCCGAATTAGTCGCACCCGTGTGGATAATATGACACTCGGAGTGAAAGATAATCTAGCCCCCAAAGAAGAATCTTCAAGTATGCCTTAAGAAGTCTAGGCGGTATTGTTTCATCCTCCCAGCGCCGTTGAAATAGCCAAAGCGGTTCTCTCATCGGTTCATAGACAAGGCACAGGTGCGCGCTGTTGTCTGGCCCCGCGATTTCGAAATCATCACGTAGGGCCCTAACAGCTTTATATCCTTTGTGCGATGGATTAGCATTTAGGCGTTCGGATATTCTTAATTCATGGTTTGCAGCATCTTGGTTGGTGAGACTGGAGGTAGAGACCTTGATACCTTAGTAACGTAGCGATTGGACTGCCACCGCCAGCTGGAGAGCTGTTAACCCTAGTACAAGTCCCGCAGAGTTAGAGCATACCGTGACATGTCTTGAGCTAACCAAACAGTTGAGGAACGGCCCCATCCGAGCTTGACAAGCATCTTATACCGGTTATTGAAGAGGTCCCCAGGGTTTACTGGGCAGAAATGGCGGGCATCGTAATCAGGCAGCCCTTCTTCCTCTACCGGCGCATCAGACGAGAGAATTTGAGGCGCTTGACGTGTGACCATGATAGCGCATCTCGGCGGTAAATGCAGTCGTCGAAAGAGTGAGAGAGTACGGAATCCGACGAGGCGAAGGGGCATCTCTGGTGACGGTTCAGCAGATCGGGTTGCTATTGCGGATGTTGAGTCTCCAAGCACCTCGGAAACAGCCGCAGAGCCTCGTACGACATGGTAGTCTTATTGTTACTAAGGCCTTGTCGCCCCCTTATAGTGCCGGCGTATGCCTTCGCCCAGGAATATCAAAAGCACTGAGACGCAAGAGACAAGTTGGGAAACTGTTGTTGTTTTCTTTATCTAAATTTGCACAGTACTTCTTCTCGTTTCAACAATTAAAGGTATTCAGCGTAGATATGCAGGGTTCCCCGCCTCGTTGAAGTCCATGAGCGATCAATCAATGCTGTGCTCCGTAGTACATTGTGCGCTTCGAGGCTGACTGCTTGATTGCGGGGAGAAGGAGTGCTTTGAGGATGATAGGCGGAGTAGCACCTGTAAGTATCCGCCTGTTGCAACGCCGTTGAGTGTCTCCCGCAGCACGGCGTTCGGAGTCCGGAGTTATATGTGCACACGCCATTGTACAGAGCGTATATCCCAATCTCCTCCCCTGGGTCCCCCGAGTCAGCCTTACGCTTTACCCTATGATCTATCTGTCGGGGCTCGATCGAGAGCTGACGGATTTACTTCTTGAGCCTTGGGTTGTGTTTGCTTCTTCTCTGTAACAATATTTAGGTTCAAGATACAATTGCAATTTCGTTCTTTCTTGCCATCTTTTTCCAGTTATACCCAGTAGGTAAGGTAGGTAAGAACTTAAACTTGGCACTGCGATGCCAAGGGATCTGATACTTATCGGGAAGGTCGCATACTCGCCAGCCGCTGTCAAGGCCCGGGGGAGCCGTGAAGAGGTAGGTAGAAAGGTACTAAGTACCTTTCACACAGTAATCCTTGGTAGATACTGTATAAGAAGTGATTATCGTGATTGTGATCCTTCCTTGTGCAACTGTCTAACGAATCCGCCGAGTCCGTCTCTTGTGTACTGTTAGGATCTGCGACATATGATGCTCTCTTGCATCGGGACCTCGTAGGGTCTTGGAATTAGTGAGTATAAGTAATGGTTCTGAATCTATCTGATTCCCTAGGCCCTCTGCCCCTTGCCCTAGGAACACTTATCGACATATAGTAAGCAGTTAGGCCATCGCCTTTCAGCGGAGCTCCGCTCAGGCCATGCCCATCCCCTTGTATTATCCGCGGAAGGACGAGTAAGTTCGTTGTAGACTGTGTAGTAGCACCATCATGGCGGAGAAACCAGGAACCCTAATATATCCTATCCATGTCCCTGATCCGCTTCTACTATCCTCCTTCCCGGTACGAGAGAGGGGCAGCCCGCAGCTCTGTTCTAGAATCCAGAATAATCTAGCACCCATGCGGTAAACAAGCTGTCAGTCAGCACGACAGGAGACGTGCCAAGTGAAAATGGAGCCGTGGTGCAATCGTGGGATCTGACGTGCCGTCTCTTGCTATTTAAGCTGGCTCGATTCCCCCGCGACAAAAGGGTCCTCCTCACTCGACTCGAATCCGCCATCACCATGTTGGGTCTCTCCGTCGTGCTGTCTGTGGCCTTCGCTGCCCAGGCGGCTTTTGCTTCCCCGCTGCATTCCCGTACCCCATACGCTGTCAAGGAGTCCCATCCGGTGCCGCGCAAATGGACGCCTGTGAGTCGAGCGCCGGGAGACCATATGCTCCATATGCAGATTGGTCTGAAGCAGGAGCGGTTCGATGAGTTGGAGCGCCATCTGTATGAAGGTATATCATAGTTTATCTTCTGTCGTACACATCCCTATATATATACATCATGGGATATGTATAGATATATGTGGATGGACATGCTCGATAAGTGTCTTTTTTCCGGGAGATTCACGTGCTAACCCGCCCCCCCTTTTGCCATCGAACAGTCTCCGACCCAGATCATCCTCGCTATGGCCAGCATCTCAGCACCGAGGATGTGTATGAGCTTGTCAAGCCCTCGGATGAAGCTCTGGATCTCGTCCACGAGTGGCTGCTTTCTAATGGTGTTGATCGCTTTGACTACAGCCCCGCCAAGGACTGGGTCAACATCTACATCTCTGTAGAGTCTGCTGAGCGTCTGCTCAACACCAAGTACTCAGTCTTTCAGCACGAAGACGGTTCGTACTTGGTGCGGACGCCGGACTGGTCACTGCCGCTTCACCTGCATGACCTGATTGACACGATCCAACCCACCAACTCCTTCATGCGCGCAACCCCCCAGAAGACCGACTGGATCCAGTTTGGTGACCATCAAGCGCCCCCGGGATACAAGCCCCCCAGCAACGAGACCATTGCGAGGGTTTGCAACATCGAAAGCGTGACTCTGGAGTGCTTCAACACCCTGTATGGATCCTTGGGCTACCGGCAACAGGCCGTTGGCAAGGCCCGGATCGGCTTCAACAACTATCTCAACCAGACTCCCATCCGGCCCGACATCTTCCAATTCCTGGAGCTGTATAACCCGCCGGCTGCGTTGTCAGCGTGGACGTTCGAATCCGTGGAGATTGCCAACGGTCCTGCGGCACAGTACACGCCTTTGACCGCTGAGCAACTTGCTGGAAGTGATATTTCTGAGGAAGCCGTCCTCGATGCTGAGACCATCCTGGGCATGACATGGCCACAGCCAGTAACTTCCTTCTCCACAGGAGGAAGCCCTCCTTTCAACCCCGATCTCAACACTCCAACGGACACCAACGAACCTTACCTGACCTGGGTCAACTACGTCTTGGGACAGAAGGACCTCCCGCAGGTAATCAGCAGTTCATACGGCGACGACGAGCAGACGATCCCCAAGTCCTACGCCGAGAGAGTGTGCAACTCCTTCGCCCAACTCGGGGCCCGCGGTATCTCCCTCTTGTGTTCGAGTGGTGACGGCGGACTCGGCGGCCTGGACGACAGCGCCTGCTACAGCAACGACGGCCAGAACAAGAGCACCTTTCTACCAGCCTTCCCTGCCAGTTGTCCATTTGTGACCACCGTCGGCGCAACGATGCAGTTCGAGCCAGAGGTCGCAGTGTACCGCAGTCCCGGCGTTGGATCCGACGGCAAGCAACACGGTTTCTACGCGTCAGGCAGCGGATTCAGCTACTACTTCCCTCGCCCCTCATACCAGGACGCTGTGGTGCCCGCATATGTCAAGTCCCTGAATGGCGCCTACACCGGCTTGTATAACCCAGGTCCGTCTCCCTCTCCCTTCCCCCTCCCCCCCCTTTGAACCTCCATCTAACAAACCCCCCTTACCAGAGGGCCGTGGCTACCCCGACGTCTCGGCGCAAGGTCTCTACTTCGCCTTCTTCTGGAACGGCGAGCTAAGCACCATCTCCGGAACCAGCGCCTCCTGCCCCCTGATGTCCAGCATCGTCTCGCTCGTCAACGACGCCCTGATCGCATCCGGCAGGCCGACTCTCGGCTTCTTGAACCCTTGGCTCTACTCGAAAGGCTATCGCGGCTTCACTGACGTCACGAGCGGGAACAGCTCGTCGTGCGGTACGGACGGCTTCCCTGTCACTGAGGGCTGGGACCCTGTTACGGGCTTTGGCACTCCCGTGAGTCTTCTTGCCCTTTCTTCATCCCTCGCCTCGACTCCGCCGAGATGTATTGAGTGATTGATTGATTGACTGATTGCTGACTGGTGAAATTCTAGATCTTCCCGAAATTAGTCGAGTTGGCAAAGGGTCATTGATGGATACCTTAGATATAGCGATACGAAAATAAGTAAGTGCACAGGACCCAGTCTTCAGTCTGCGGTCCTGCGACCCGACATCTAGGATCGTGCGAGATGTGACTTCTTCTGAAAGTATCCTTACTATATGCGGAAAGAGATCTGAAAGGCATGTCTTGTCTCGAACATCCTGAGAGGAGGATATAATATGTAATGATATACATATATATTACTGTACTTATGATATTTGTGTCGAGATGCTAGATGTTGACTGTCCCTTTGTAAGAGGACCATCCCGTGACCGTCCCTAAAGCTACCTTATCATGGACTATTCTATAGTAGGTAGTTACCCTATCACTCGGAGATTCAAAGTATTAAAATCCATTGACTTAGCTAGAGATTACGCATAGAAGCGTATCTTATGTCTTCTGTGTTGTACGGAGTAAGGGTGTGGACTATACTGTTAGTGGCTGTTAGGGTGCCATAGGTGTCTATAAAGAAGGGTGCTCAGGAGGGCCACCGTAAGTCTACAGTAATTATAGGTAGCTAAGGTACTATATTCAAGTATATCTAAGTAAAGTGTCCGCGACCGCCTCCGTACCTATATAGACCGTCGATTTGGTTCTCGACAGTCTATATAAAGGGTCTTTGCCTACCTAGGTAGAGTAGGACTATCAACTGCTGGTTAAGGGACAAATGCCTCACCGTCAAAGAAAGAACTCATACTTCGCCTTCAAGGTAGGTAGATAGGTAGGTAGGTATCTTTCTACATGTATAAGGTATGTGGCGTATCTCCAATTCCCCTCACTTCCCTTGCCCCCTCTCCCCGATCACCTCCGGCAACCTCCTCATTAACACATTCACCGCCCACTCCACCGTCGTTGCCATATCTACATCCCCTTTCCCTAAACACTCAATCCCATGCTCCCTCATAACCGCCTCATCGACCTCCCCCTCAACATCCCCATCCTTGAACAAAAACGCATGATCCCTCACGTAGTTCGGCCACACGATATTCTCCACATACCCCGGCGGATCCTCCCAGAAGCCCTCAAGCGTCGCATATCCCGCTCTCTTGGCCCTCCTCTTCTTAGCCTGCTCCTCGCTCGTGCGCAGGAATAAGCGGATATCGAGCTGTGGCTGCAAAGCGGTCATGGACTGCGCGTACAGGAGGAAACCGTCAAGGATGAAGATCGGTAGTGGTGAGGGCGAGAGCAGGGAATGGCCTGCGGAAGAGCTCCAGGCTTGGACCTGCGAACGGAGGCTGGAGAGGAGCGTCGAGGGGATGGCGGGGGGTGGGGTGCTGGGGTTCTGGGCTTCTTTGGAGTGGAGGTCGGGCTGGGAGGGGGGTTAGCGTTAGTTGGTGGGGGGAAAGGAAAGGGGACGCACGGGGTAGGCGCCGTTGCGGTGGATGTACTCGAGAGAGCGGATCATGTCGGGGATGGAGAGCGCGTCGGCGCAGTCCCAGTCAAGAACACCATCTTTGGTGGGAATTCTAGTACGGGGAGGTCAGTCTGCAGGGATGGTGGGGTTGGGAATCGCTTTGGTGTTGATGTTACGTTGGAGTTGAGATGGGAAATATTGAAGCGTGAATGATAGATGGATGAGGTATATAAGGTACATAGAGCAAGTCCGTCCAGACATGTGACCCGACTTCGAATCCAAGCAGTGATTCCCCGGGAATCTCGTTCTCACGCATAGAAATTCAAACATCCAGAAATATAAATTCCGATAGGAAACAAACAGGAATTAAACAAGACAAGACAAGACAACAAGACAAGAGCAAGACAAAAGCAAGAAGATCGACTTACTCAGCCTCAGGCTTATAGAAATCGTCGGCGTGCAGGACGAAGCAATTGGGGAAGACATCGCAAAGGAGCCGGCTGAGCGTTGACTTCCCACTCGACGAGCAGCCGCTGACTGCAACGACCACGGCCTTTCGAGGACTCGCCATGCTTGACCCGCGTGTGAGGAATGTTCGTCTGGCGATTGGCGATAGACGTTGCGTGGTGATGGTGGGCTCGCTTATTGATACCGATAGGCCAGGTAAATACTGCAAGGTAAAGGAGATAAATAAGACAAAATAAGGTCAGGTCAGCGTTATTTAGCGTCGGGCTAGGGCGCCGGGGATCGCCCCCCTATTCTCCACATGGTCGTCGGCAACGACATGTGATTTAGGAGGTCGTGTGAGTTGCAGAGGTGATTGGAGCGGTAGTAGGTAAGGTACCTTTCAGCAGTAAAACATGTGATTGATCTGTTTGAAGCATGGAATGAGAAATGTCGCCAACTGCTCCAGGGAACGGGGGCAATATGTTATTCTCGCAGCTGCTTGTCTTAAGGATGCCCCTTCTTTTCTTTTTCTCCTATTCCATGAGTTCTTGACAGCTATGTGAGGCGAAATAAAGATGGGTTTTAACTCACTGGCAAGATCCTGAACATCATATCGTTGCAGCCCAGGCTCGTCTCCCGTGGGAAAATACTTGTTTCACAACGTCCTGTCCTTAGTTCCAGGATCCCTAGGTATGTCTCTTAAGAATGGTGTTCTTGGAAATTTAAGCAGCTTTCGAAGGACTTGGTTGGTGTTATTCGGAGCCGGTGTCCGTTGGCGTACGGCCTCACGTCAGCAGCCTCACCGTGTCCTGTCAACGAAGCATGGGTGCTCATCTGTGCCGACCCCTGCCTGGCGACACTCGTCCTTTAAGTATTTCGGATAATACCGATTCCCGAATTTCGACCAGACGCAGTGTTGAAAGCTTGGATGTACATTTCTCAACTGCGCAGTTCAGACGAGCCAAGGACATCATCTCGTCTAGCATCAATGCCCTATAACTCGGTATGCTGCTTAGAGGCCCATGTGAAGGTCATAGTGCAGCAGCTGTGAAGATCTGCTAATATCACACAACATTTAAGGGAGACTGCTCCTTGGCCGGTAAGGACTCAGGGAGCACCGAAGATATTTGTGAGTATTTGTGACATGAAGAAGGAACCATGATTATTTAGATCAACAGTATGGTATGGAAAAAAGCTTATTGTCATCCCGTCCTTAACGGGGAATGCAACGGGAAGGGCAGCTAGCTGACGGGAGTGAGCAGATATCCGGGATTTCAAATCCCGGTACGATCATATGGGTAGAAAGCAAGAGATTTTCAGTGGAAGTGAGTCACTAGAAAATCCTTAGAGCTTGCCACATGTATGTATTGATGCAAAGGATAAGAAAAGAGACAAGATTGTGGAACTGTCTTCTTGCAGTAAGTGAGCAAAACCAGGATGGGCTTAGAGCAATGATTTCATTTCTGCTCGACCCTGGAGGTAGTAACGATAGTGATTGGAATGAATTTATAAATCTCCGCCTGAAAAGAGAGACTCAATCTCAAGTGCAATCGAGAGATCTTTTGTGACTCGTTGTATTGGTACGGGTACTGTAGGACAACGGCATTCGTTGAGGCTGGACGGTGAGATCCCGGGAAGGCTTCAGCCTCGGGCTTTATCGAAATCTGCCTCAAGGCTGAGCCATTATTTTCGGTGCAGCCTTGATAAGGAAGCTCAATCTTGTCTCAAGAATTGTAGAGGTAAGATAGATGGAAACCTCTGACTTCCATGACGACAGAGCATCGGCGTAAGGCAGGTAAAACTCACAAAGTGACAGGAAGTGTGTGCCCGTCCATCTTAAACCCGAGCCTGTAAATATACGTAAATATCCTTACTGTAAATCTGTTGATATCAGTAAATCTTCCTAGGCAAATTTGTCGGCTTTTCTCCACAGCACGCTAAAAAATTACTAGCAGGCGCACTTCAACGCACATGCCAACGCGGGCTATGCCACCTATTTACGGTGGATAGACCGTATAAATATAATATTTGATTCCGTGCCCGGCCTCCATCTTCAGAAATCGTACGGTCTACGGAGTTCTCTTCGATCATCCCGACCTCACTCAATCTCTCTCTCTCTCTTCTCCTTCCTCCCTCCTCCCTTTACTCCTTCAACATGCTCTCCTCAGTCAGATTGGCCACCAGACAGGCGGCGACCCGTGGTGTCGCTGTGCGAAGATGTATCGCCGCCCGTCAAGCTTCCACCTGGGCCGACGTGCCGCAAGGACCTCCAGTAAGTCGATGGACTCCCATGTTCGGGCTGTACATGATCGCTGACCATTGAATAGGATGTAAGTTCATAGATCGCCGCTCGATCTTCTTCAATTGCTAACTGCGCGTTTGCTTTTTAAAGGCCATCTTGGGTGAGTCACCTCCATGGATGATCTGCGAATACCGTCTCTAACTGGGTTCCAGGTATCACTGAAGCCTTCAAGGCCGACAGTTTCGAGGAGAAGATCAACTTAGGTATGCGAGAAGAATGCGCCATGCATTGGATACGTGCTGAAAGCGATTCCAGGTGTTGGCGCATACCGTGACGACCAAGGCAAGCCCTACGTCCTCCCCTCTGTACGAACGGCCGAAGACAAGGTCGTATCCGCACGTCTCAACAAGGAATACGCTGGTATTACCGGTGTCCCTGAGTTTACTAAAGCCGCCGCCGTGCTTGCATACGGTGCCGGCTCCTCTGCCCTCGACCGCCTGGTCATCACACAATCCATCTCTGGAACTGGTGCTCTTCGGATTGGGGGTGCGTTCCTGCAACGTTTCTACCCTGGCGCAAAGAAGATCTATATCCCAACACCGTCATGGGCAAACCATGCTGCGGTCTTCAAAGATTCGGGGCTGGAAGTTGAGAAGTACCGATACTACAACAAGGACACCATTGGTCTTGATTTCGAGGGTATGGTTGCCGATATCAAGGCCGCACCAAAGGGGAGCATCTTCCTACTCCACGCATGCGCACACAACCCTACCGGTGTCGACCCAACTGTCGAGCAGTGGAAGGAGATCAGTGAGGCTGTCAAGGCTGGTGGTCACTACGCTTTCTTCGACATGGCATACCAGGGATTTGCCTCAGGAGACACAGACAAGGACGCCTTCCCTGTCAGATACTTTGTCGAGCAGGGCCACAACCCATGCCTTGCTCAATCTTTCGCCAAGAACATGGTATTTTCCCCGGCTCCCTTCGAGGTCGATGAAACTAACGGCTATGATAGGGTCTCTATGGTGAACGTGTCGGAGCATTCTCAATTGTCTGCGCCGACGCAGAAGAGAAGAAGCGTGTTGACTCGCAAGTCAAGATCCTCGTCCGACCTCTCTACTCCAACCCTCCCGTCCACGGTGCACGTATCGCTTCCGAGATTCTCAACGACCCAGCCTTGAACAAGCAATGGTTGGGCGAGGTCAAGGGCATGGCCGACCGCATCATCACCATGCGCGCTCTTTTGAAGAAAGAGCTCGAGGCTCTGGGCTCGAAGCACGACTGGAGTCACATCACGAGCCAAATCGGCATGTTCGCCTACACTGGATTGACCCCTGAGCAGATGGATAAGTTGGCCAAGGAGGTGAGTTTTTCCCTGCCTACCTTACGTGATCAAGACGCAGCTCCAGCTGACGCTTTTATAGCACTCTGTGTACGCAACCAAGGATGGTAGAATATCAGTTGCGGGTATCACGACGGGGAATGTTAAGAGACTTGCGGCTGCCATCCATGCCGTCAAGCCATAGGGTGTAGGGGGAATGAAGGGGGTAATTCCGCAAGATCGTGTTCCATAGTTGTTGGTTGGCTATACCAGATAGAGTTCTTTCTGAATTGTACAACACTTTGCAGCGTGCCCATTTGATGGTCCACACTTTGCCCTACTGCTCTGATCAGATTACACCGCTCCAATAACTCCGATCATAATTCTTTAATTCTCCAAACTCCTTTCATCCCTTTTAAATCAAGTCCCCCCCTTTATCGACTCCTCAACCGTTCAACATCCCTCCCCACCTCCGCCACCTCCTTAACCAACTCCCCATACACCCTCGCAATCTCCTTCATAACCTTCTCCTTCTCCAGCCCCTCGCCCTCCTTCCTCCCGACCCCATACCCCCACAGCGCCCTCTCCGCTGCACTCCTCCGCTCCCTCAACCTCTCCCTCGCATCCCTCAAATGCCTCACATAATTCGCCAGCGCCCTCCTCACCTCCTCACTATACACTTGTTTCTCCGCCCTAGCCTTCTTCTCGCCCGCATCCAGCTTCGTCTCTGCGGCCTGCGCGCTCAGCAAGTCCGCTTTGGCGCGCGCGTGCCGCGCCGCGCCGCCGTGTTTCGACGACTCGAGGATCTGGATCGTGAGCGCGCTCGCGAGGTGGTAGATGGAGAGCAGCGTCGTGGTGTTGGAGACGAGCGCTTGGCGGCGGTGTTCGAGCGCGGCCTTCTTTTTTGCGATGGATTCCTGCAGGAAGTGGGTGCCGGGCACGAGCTTGGGAATGGTGCGGTGGAGAAATGAGGCGTTGGTCGTGGGGGCGTGGATGCGGGATAGTGCGAGGGCTTGCGTGTGTAGGTGGCTAGAGAGGAGAGAGCTGATGGTGGGGAGGTGCGTAGGGAGGGAGCACCATTGGGAGGTGGTTTCGAGGAGGTGGGTTGAGGAGGTGGGGAGGGAGGGCGAGGAGAGGCGCGCGGAGAGGAGGAGGATCAGTTCGATGAGTTCGCTGGGGAGGGGGGGTTGTTGCTTGGCGGCTTGTTTGGCGCTGGCTCGCGTACTTGTGGATGTAGACGTTGATGGGGGGCTGAGATCGAGGGATTTCAGACCGCTGCGGATGAGCTGGGTCTTTGCGTCTTGGATGCGGGCGCTTTTGAGTGCCTATATCGACGGCGTTAGTGGAACTGATAGGAGGAGGTGGAAGAAGGGGGAGAAATAGGTAGGTACTTCAGAGACGGCATCGCGTTCTTTTTGTGCGGGGTGCTTTCTCGTGGATCCGGATGGATTGAGAATGTTATTTGTGAGCGTAGAATATAAAGCTGCGAATTTGGGATTGCTTTGCAGCACGGACTCATCAATTGGTGGCAGCATTTTGCCTTCGTCGGGGAGTTGATGTTGAGTTGAGTTAGAGCGAGGTTCCGCGGTTGCGATGTTGTTTTTGACGAGGCTGTACCGCAGCAGACAGGGCTGACTTTTACGACCTCGCCAAATTCCACGTCTTTCAGCCGCCTCTTTTACCGCTCCTTTCTACAGATAGTAATAATCATAGAACCGGCTGGCTATCGTGCCGTGAACGAGAACTAAATGACTACATAGTATACAGATATTGCATTATCTATCTTACCTGTTACCTATACGGGCCGTACTATCGAATAGCACATATAGCCAAGAATGACTAGACTGCCAAAGCAAAACTTCAAAAGCAAGGTATATCTAAGGATGTTCTTGTAAACTACAAAAAGCCTTCCCTCTCCTTCGTCCAGAGTAACCACGTATGCCAGGAAGAGCGTTCATTGAAGTGGTCTGTTGGCGGGTTTGGTAGCTCGAGGTGGAGTCTGAAATAGAGGTTATCCGCTAAGGTCATGAGGTTCTGATGTACCTAAGGTAGGTACTTTTAACGAATGATGCAAGGAGTTGGATTAAGCTAGGTACCTACCATAGGTGATAAGTTAAAGTACCTTAAGATACAAGCACATGGACAGGCTCGGCAGGTTACTCACCCTCTGCCCACCCATCCAAAGTCACGCTCCTTCTCCTCCATCTCATTAACCAGCCAAGTCTTGTAAAAGCTGCAACGTTGTGCTGGTTGAAGATAACGTGCCTTGTTTCTCTTTACTACATAATCTCCAGGTCGGTCCACTCGTTCTGTTCTACCTGCTGGCTATCACCGTTTCCGTTAGGAAGAAAACGGAAGGCTTGACTGAGACTTTAGTCAAAACATGGATAAGCATGTATGGCCTGGCGCCCATCCTTGATTCGGATTATAGCGGTGGTTGTTCAGGTCCAGAAGCGGAAACGGAAATTGGTGAGGGTAGGGAGCGTCTTTCAGGTCTGATATAAATCATTTATTTCGAGGGCAGCGGGCTTTTGATGCCGTGGTATGACAGTAGGGATACATATATACCCCACTTGATATTCTTCCAGCGCCATCCGTGTATCCGACTTCCAAATTCCAAACGCCTGCAATGCTTGCTTTTCATTCATACCTTGCGCTTTATTCGCCTACAAGAGCTTCAAAGTTCCCGTAACCTTGTCGATTACACTCTTCGGCGCTGGTCCAATGCCCAACACCGTATGGCTCCCACTGGCAATCTGGGTTCTCCCTGCATCTGCGATAACTTCTGCCACGAGTCCCAGGCTGATTGCTGTGGCCTGTAACACTTCCAATTCATCCTCGCTCTTTACTTGGAGTGCCACCTTGGCCTGCCCTTGCCGTTCCCAGCGCCTCAGAATCGGGGACTTGGGGTCGTTTCGTAAGAAGTTCTTGTAGCAAGCGAGCGTGGCATGAGAGCACTGAGCCGCGATTTTGCCTGGAAAAGGTTAGAGACAGTCTTGGAGAAGGGCAGAAAATCAAACCTTTGGTCATTCCTAAATCGGTGCGCACAACCAGAACCAGTTTACATTCCTCTGTGCTATCCGCCCAGGAGGGCTTTGTAGCTGCTGCAGGAGCTTGAGACTTTTTTGCTTCTGCTAGAGCTGAGGCTCGCAGTCCATCCCTCTTGTCTGCCTCTAAGCCATTGGCCCAATTTGGCAAATGATCTAGTATTTCGCCTTCGTCAATTTCCTCCTCTGAGCTCTCTTCTTCGTCGTCGTAGTTGGCTGTCCCTCGTGCTTTGGCTGGTTTGGCTGCTTTGGGCATGAACGGTATTGGCAGAAAGCCCAGGGAGGACGCGATTCCGATCATGTAACCGCTGATACCGGCGACGATGGCGGTTCCGACAATCAGGGCCACTGGCGTGGGTGGTGGGCGGAGGTCAGCCATTATGTGAGGAAGGGCGGGGGTGAAGATGGAAACGGATTAAAGTGTTTGTATCTGAGGAGGGATCTGGAATTGATATGGAATTGATATATCGACGCGGTCAGATTTCGCGAACAATTTTCCAGGGGTAGGTACGTTCGGCAACGTCATTTCGTTGAGGCCTCAGGAGTCAGCACCTTATCAGGCTCACACAATTCACTCTGCACAGGGCCCGGTCCGCTCCACACAACACCAGACAAACAAGGGTCTGGAAAACCACCTGTGTTTGCCTGGACTTCACGGCGCCCACAAGTGCGACATGCAACAAAATTCTACAACCGACATAGGCCGGGACAGTTGAATGTTAATCTGGCATCAACCGAGCAAGCCAACAGGAGAGGGAGAGATATCTTTGATTATGCTCTAATGCTCTAATATAGCGACAGTGAGGTATGGCCCTATTACACCCTCTCTTCCAAAGCAGTGGTCAGTGGCCGCTCACTAATGGTATCCTAATGAACCCCCTTTGGCCCAAGAGATAACTAAATCTACTCCTCCTTCCCCTGCACGCTAATGGGCTCCGGGCCTTCATTGTTAGATCGGGCAGCTCTCTCATTCCTATCAGATCATCAGCATCGCAACTCTTCTCGCTAATCACGATATCTCGCGACATACCTTAGCTTTTCCCTCTTCCACAAAAATCGAACAGCAAACGTGCTTATGATCAATACCACAGAGAGGCAGGATACAGTAATGAAACCTTTCTGGTACTGTGGTGCATCAACCTGCTGCCAGACGATGAGTGGAAGCCAGGCTTGCACGACATAGGCCATCTCGTTCATGCTGGCAATCACAATTGCTCTTTCTTCGTTATCATCATTGCATATTTCATGCCCCCAGCTATGGACCGTATTAGCAGAATCCCAGTGGATGATTCAGGATGTCTTACGCCATGATCAAGCCTGAGAGGCCGTACCCACAACCGCAGATGTAGTAGCAGGCCCATTTCCAGCCATTGGGGATGTCCCATACTGCGAGTGAAACGTAGCAAATTATGTTGATAATCGCGCCAAAGACAATTGGAGGCCAGCGCCGACCATTCAAGACGGCGTCCGAGACCCAGGCATATACGAGTGTAGATACAACTTGCACTGCAGATGTCCCAGTAGGATATGCGTTGATTTGACTAACGGAGTACTTGGGATGTTTTGAATCCTTCAAGAATTGAGCGAAGATGGGTGCAGCCGCTGCTCCATTGTTGAAACATCTGCAGAATTTATATCAGCCTGAGTTCAATTGTTTGGAAAGAATGGCTCTCACATGTATACTAGACTCAAAAGGTATATATGCCATGAAGTCATGATCTTTTTTATCTTGGCCACTGTGTATGGCTTTCTCTGCTCTCGGCCCTCGAGCTCCATTCTCTTTTTGCCGAATTCCCGTTCCTGTCAAATCTCAGCAAGGGAAAATATTTCTGAAGGGGGACCACGGACCTGTTCGGACAAGTACCAGACTCTTGATATTTCAGGGACATCTGGAAGCACAAAGAAGCCGGCCAATGCAACCGGAAGCGAAATCACTCCATCAATGATGAAGAGCCTAGTGGAAAGTTAGCAGGTATCCAATTCTCATCGCTTGATTCATACCATTGCCAGCCGCGAAGACCGCCCTTTCCCTCTAGATGATACACAGCAGCCATCAAGTAGCCGGAAAACATGGTTCCCAGGCCACTACTGGTGTGGAAAATGCAAGATCTCTTGGCCAATTCATCCTTCCTGTACCAGGACCCGATCACATACTGCATTCCAGGGTAGAAACCGCTTTCCGCTAATCCAACGAAGAAACGCAGGGCATAGATCTGGCTCGCGGTATTGCAGCGAGACAAGCACATGGTAAGGACGGTCCATATGAGCTAGTTCTCGTCAACTCAATGTTGTGGAACTCGAGATGCAAAAACACCCACCTCGCAAGCAGGGATCCATATCGAGGGCCGAATCCGCGTCAGAAGAATATTGCTGGGTATCTCTCCAATAACATATCCCACTGTCCACGCGGTTGTCATATAGTTGAGTTGGTCTCCATAGAGATTCAAATCCTCTTTCCTGTTACACCTCAGCATCACGTTCCAAGCAGCCTCCAGATCCTAGAGACTTACATCCCAGACACGAAAGCATTATTAATATTCGTCTGATCCAGATATTTGATGAAATAGCCTATTTGTGCCGCATGAGCTACAGATCTCGCGTTGCGGGAGAGACTGGGCTTACCGAGCGATGCAAACGTCAAGATGGCGGCATCAAGTTTGAACAGAAACCTGCGCTCCTCGGGGGACTTATCGAACGTATCCCATAAATATGAGGTCCATTTTTTCTGAGGCGTCTCCTTGATAATCGAGCTGGGGGCGGCCGCTTCTTCGCTCCCTGAATCGGTCACGTGCGCGTCGACGTCGACGGCCTTCTTCTCTTCAGCCATTGCACTGGACAGGATGGGAGAAGAGGGAGCAGAGGGGGCAGAGATGGAGATCCTTTGAAAGCTTAATCACAGCCATGATAACGAAGCGGTCTTGGCCAGGTATATGAAGGATCTTGTCAATCTGGGAGCAACCTTTTCGCGTCGGCAACGCGCATGCTTTCGCTATGATCCCTGCGTCTGACACCATTCCCACTTACAGGCCTCCACGACTCACGACGACTCACGACGCAACGGCACATTTTGGCCTGCCGCCTGTCTCTCGAGATTCCCATCCGTAGACTCTGGAGTCTGGAGTGCCCGCACGGCATGTCATTAATAAGCAGTCGCAGAAGCAGTAACCCCCCGCATTGCGTGCTCCTGCCGCCGAATGCGCGATAGATAAGGGGAATTGTCGAATGGGAGCGGGTGAGTTCTACGGTTTCTATCTGTCTCCTGGACAGGTCTGGCCACAGAGTCCCCTTGGAAGAGCCCCCGGATCACGACACGCTTCCAGGCAAAGACGTGACTTGACAGGTACGCCGTCACTCCTAATCGAGGACCCTTACAGAAGCGGCACAGTAGTAGAAGAAGACTTTTCCAAGAACACGGGCGAATAAAACGTACCAATGAAATGCACACACCGTGAACCTGAGTGACAGATGGGACCTGACAGCTTGACGCTCATCAATCATCAAAATTTCGTATTCATGCCTACCTACTCCAAACACGAGCCAGATATCTACACCACAACGCCGCCGCCCTCCACCTCCATCTCCACATCCTGTGCCTCCTCTTTCGCCTCCCCCTTCAACTCCACAGCCGGGTTCCACGCCCTCGCGTTCCGCGGCCACATGCGCTTGTACAGACTGACGCCGATCGAATCCTGCGGGTTGATCTTCCCGTCGAACGTCGCCTTGAAGTAGCCGTGCGTGCCCAGACTCTCCTTGATGAAGCCGCTCCGGCCCCTCTTCGTCCACAGCTGCAGGGCCTTGAACCACTCCACGTCCTCGCGGTTGAAGAACATGTACCGGATCGTCACGAGCTTCTTGTGGATCTTGTACGGGTGACCCGTCAAGATGATGCGTTTGGCGATGACGCGCTGCGAGGATGGCGGCAGTGATGTGCCTGTGCCGACGAGGGTCAGGGGGAGCTTCGCTGCGTCGGGGTCGTCGTCTGTCGACTCATCGGGACTAGTGCGCTTGAAGAAGAGAGTGGGCACAGAGCCCCAGGTGAGAGGAGCAATGAAGGACGCGACGGCAGAACCACCGGGGTGCAGGAAGCGGTCGAATTTGTGCACGTCGTTGGGGGTGTTGCCCCCTTGGGAGAAGAGCGGGTTGATGACAAACCGGCGCGGTCCGCATTGGACGATCAGCTCTGTCTTCGACTTGATCGGTGCTGGGTAGTCCGAGCTGAGAGTCAGGTCGAAGTTGACGACTGCACGCTTGTGCTCGTGGCGGAGCAGGGAGAAGAGGGTTAGGGGATGCGCGGGATTGTATGTCGATTGAAGGGACGTGGGGACGTTTCGGAGATAAACATGAACCCGGGTTCCAGGCGCCACACCCCCAACCAAAGCCTCGCGAGTGACTTGACTCCTCGCCGACTTGTAGTTCGGGACCTGGAGCAATCGTCTCCAGTCTTCTGGTTCGTGGGCTCTGTCTTCCGCCTCCTCCCAAGGGCTGGTCCGAAGACTCTTCAGTCCCCGATATCTTGCCAGTCTCTCCCGTGCTAGGACATGCGGGTGAAGCTCAATCTCGTCTGGAAACTCGCGGTCCTCCTCGGCTTCGTCCCTCTTACGTCCTCTGAACGCCGCGAGCTGCTCTGCCTCCGCTTCGTCGTCTGGAGTGGGATCTAAAAACATCTCTGACTGTGGATACTCTGAAGGCGCAGCCTCGGTAGGTTCTCGAGGAGCGAACCCTTCAATACCATCTTGCGGCAGAGCCGGTGTATCCATGGCCATGCTGCTTGGCTCAACATCCTCGAAATCCGATCCAGAATCGGAGAACTCGTCTCCTAGATACCATGCAGCTTGATATGCTGATGTTCCCTTGGGTAGTCTTTTTGGTGGGGGAGGCAGATGCGTTTCATCGTCTGAAAAGTAGTGATGATCATCTAGAAGCACTCCACGTTTTTCAGTCGTGGCCACTGACATTGTGGCATCCATATCGTCATCCATCATGATTTCTTCGGGAGCGAGTTCCGCAAGATCGTCCTGCTCCTCCGTGGGGGTATCTAGTATTTTCTCTCCGTCGTCAACCGCCATTCCTTCTGTCTTCCTCCTCTCTGAGACTAGTGGAGCGGCCGTGATTTTCTCAATTTGGAAATCGCCCCAATCTCCAACCTGAACCAATCTATCTGCCTTCAATCCCTTGCCCCTGACGATCCCGGTCAGAATAACATTCTCTTGCTCGTTCGCGGGCCATTGTACTTCATCAACCAGCATCCAGCTTCTATCCTCTCGCCAGCGAACGCCTTTCGGGGTAAGTGTGCATAGTGAACGCATGAGATTCGCGCATTCCTGCCTGGAATCCAAATTGTGAACCTTCTCTTGCTCCGGATGAAAGTGTTGAATGTAGGATTTGAGTGATGAAAGAACTTGAGACCGTTTCTTCACAGGTTCGATCTTATCTAAACCTTGAACAACCGTCAACATTGTTGACAAGCCTTGTCCCTCGATACTTCGTATGATCAGCTCCCCCAAAGGATCAACTTCCTTGTCCGGCGACAAAATGAATATGACGAAGTCGGCCACTCTTCCTGCATCCAAGCAGGCCATAAGATCTCGTTTAGCTACCACATACTGAATCTTCTGCTTGAATCGGTCGACATCGGTGCGGACGGTGCCTTCTTCTGGGATCTCCGCGTCGATGTCCAGACTACCGCTCAAAAGTCGCACAGCCGCCGCCGCATCTACATCCTCACACAGAGGGATGACAGCCACTATTCTCGGTGCTCCATCACGGCCAGCGAAAATACTCGTCTCCCTCAGATGCTCCTTGTGTTTCGCTTGCTGCTTCTGCCGTGCTTGGTTTCGTCGATCAAACTTGGACATGAGCTGCTGGTGAGGAGTTTTCCGATGGCTCAAGTCTGCGACCTTGCCTATAAATTATTATTAGTAGATGCGACTTCTTGAAATAATATTCAGCCAAACCTTTGGAGAGTTCCTTCAATGCGCCCTTGGTCGCTTTCCGAGATTTAAACGGCTTGTGGGATACTTTCGTAGTACTCCTATGCGAGTGGGACGCAACACTGGAAGGCATGCTGCCGCTGCCGTTACCACCGGCTTTGAATCTAAACGGGAGTGATGCCAGTGTGAAGTCCTCTGATATCGAATTCTCGAAATATTCTGGGCAATTTTGTTTGTTCCTCGGCGTGGGGTTGTGATAATTTTTTGTGCGCTAGAGGCTTATCGCTTATCGGAAATCTTGGCAGAGATTATTTTCACTCCATGTAGCTAAAAAGTTGAGTACAGCCTTAAGTTTCCTGGATTATCATCCAACCTGTCCTGCATTTCGACGCCTCGATACCTGGACCGCTTTCCCCAAACCCTCCTCTGGTCATTATCATCACATTGCGCTTTCGAAGAGCCTAATATCCATTGCCTCGCGCATCCGCATGTGCCTCTAAAAACAATCGCCCAACATGGCTGATACAACTGAAGAGACTGTCACAAAGACAGATTACAATGGCGTAATCCCGGCGAAGCGCCCGCGTACAGAACTCACACAGGCCGAGTCAGATCTGCAGATTCGCAGACGCAAAGAAGCTGAGAGAGATTATGGCAGGGGACGCAAGATCGCGGTGAAGTCGATTAGAGACAAGAAGCTACGGGGGAACATGAAGGCACTCGAGAGCAAATACAGGGAGGCAGCGCTGAGGGCGAAAGATGCAGAGATTCTGCACGAGAGCACTGGTGGATTTCTGGAGCCCGAAACAGAACTGGAGAGGACGTATAAGATTAGCCAGGACGAGATCAAAAAGAATGTCTCAGTTACGACGGCAAAGATGGGCTTTGAATTGAAGTTGGACGGCGGACCTTATGTGGCTGAATACACCAGGAATGGACGGGATCTTCTGCTAGCTGGAAGGAAGGGACATATTGCTACCATGGATTGGAGGGTGAGTCCCCTAGTACAGTTATCATCTTTCTGTGGCAGATCCAGGAGTCTCGATAGAATCTGGTGCCAACAATGGACCTGTTGCAACACTTCTTGAATAATCACAACTAACATACAGATCCACAGGCTGGCAAGTTAGGGTGTGAATTACAACTCGGAGAGACAGTGCGGGATGCACGATGGCTGCATAACAATCAGATGTTTGCGGTGGCGCAAAAGAAATACGTCTATATATACGATCGAGCCGGTGTAGAGATTCATTGTCTGAAGAAGCATATTGAGGTCACAAATATGGAGTTTCTTCCCTACCATTATCTTCTAGCAACAGTGGTATGTAGATTCTGGGCTCTGTTGGAGGCAAAGTACTGACAACACTCTAGGGAAATGCGGGCTATCTGAAATACCAGGATGTCTCCACTGGCCAAATGGTCATTGAAATACCTACAAGACTTGGGTCGCCCACCGCCCTGACTCAAAATCCTTACAACGCTATCCTTCACATGGGCCACCAAAACGGCACAGTCACATTATGGTCACCTAACGTGACAACGCCCCTGGTCAAACTCCTTGCCCATCGAGGTCCCGTACGATCAATAGCAGTTGACCGAGAAGGAAGATATATGGTCTCGACTGGCCAGGACCTCAAAATGTCAGTCTGGGATATCCGTATGTTCAAAGAAGTCAACAGCTATTTTACAAGACAACCAGCATCGTCCGTAACTATATCCGACCGAGGGTTGACAGCTGTCGGCTGGGGAACCCAAGTGTCGATTTGGCGAGGACTATTCACCAAGCATGCATTGGAGCAAGAGAAGATTCAAAGTCCGTATATGGCATGGGGTGGTGAGGGAAACAGAATCGAGCGCGCACGGTGGTGTCCATTTGAGGATGTGTTGGGTGTCTCAACCGATAAAGGCTTCTCTTCGGTACTGGTCCCTGGAGCTGGAGAGCCCAACTTCGACGCTCTGGAAGTGAACCCCTACGAGAACACGAAGCAGAGGCAGGAGGCTGAAGTCAAATCACTGCTCAACAAGCTTCAACCCGAGATGATTTCACTCAACCCTGACTACATTGGCAACTTGGACTTGATGTCCGCAGAGCAAAGAAAGGCCGAAAAGGATCTCGACAAGAAGCCGGTTGATCCAATAGCCGACATCAAGAACAGGGGCCGAGGTAAAAACAGCAGTTTGCGGAAGTACCTGAGAAAGAAGGGATCGAAGAACATAATTGATGAGCGGAGGATGAGGATCGAGGAGCTGAGAAAAGCTCAGAGCGAGAGGCAACAGAAGAGGCTAAAGGCTAGCGAGCAGGAGCTTGGTCCTGCGCTGGCTAGATTTGCCAGTAAGAGGGGTGCTTGAACAGAATTGATACCCTACGCTTTCATTCAAACTTCTCAATTGTTCCTCATCATCTACCTACAGGTGACGACGTACTTGTAGGTCTTTTAGCCTCGTGAATCGAGCTTTCTTACCACAGGAAGAGAGCAGAATATGTCTCAAAACTCTGCTGCACCAAGCCACCAAAAAAAAAAGAGGTTCCATTCAGGAAAAGAAACTCCTTATGCGCAGGTACACTGGAATGTAAGAATAATGAATGCTACGCTAAAAGCTTCGGTGGTAGCTGTAGAGTCAGTCTCCTTATAATCAATTATTGAAATGGTTCCAGTCATTTAATGTCCAGATAACTGTTAGCTAATTCTTCTCCGCATATATTAGTGAAATTTTACACCTCTTTTCAGAGGGTTTGTATTATATGATACACTTTGAATTGCATCACACCCACAGACATGTTGTATTTAGGTTCCCCTGAATTTGGGGTTGGTAGGAAGGTATGAAAAAGGGGGAGAGGATAAGGTATAGGAGGTAGGTCTTTTCCCGGAGCGAAAATATAGGCGAACTCATGGGGGCCATGGTCTCGTATCTCATCTCTTGATCTTCCAACTCCAAGAACTGATGTGCAGTAAGAAAAATGATCGTTACTTCGTTCATTATGTCGTGAAACAAGGATTCTTTCCCGCTGCCATTACGGAATCCGCCCTTCGTAAGTCCATACATAACCTTTTCTGACCTTTCGACAACCACACGAACCGCAAAATTGATATCAACACACGCCAGGAATCAATCGATCACTCGGGCACCAGAGCACCCATATCAGCCCACAGCTGACATCTTCTTCCCCTTCCGCCCTCCCAACTCCAAGCATCCACAACATCAAACTTGGCTGTCAGCCCCGGCCCAGCATACTCTGTGATGGTCGCCCTGTGACCATCCGCACTGTACCACTGGTATTGCACGGGGTGGCCGCCCGTCATGTTGAGATTCAGCATCTGATAGCCCTGATCGAAACCCCATCCACCGCTCCATACGGGCCAGCTTCCAGTGCCTGCCGCGGTAATGTCATCACCAGTCGCGCTTCCGTTCGACGCTGTGGTGATCTTCTTGATGGCAGATGCAGGTAATGTAGGGTCATTGTCCATGATGAAGCGACCCCATATCTCCTGCATCGCGGTCCGGAAACCCGGCGAGAGTGTGCCTTCACCAAAGAACTGGCTGTTAGCCGTGTAGTACGCATCCAGGTCTGCACCATGTTGTGCTGGAGGAACCGAATACTGATATTTCCATGCGGTGGGGAATGCAGTGGCAAGCCAATAACTTGCACACACGAACGCCGTCTCGGCATAGAGATTGTTTGCGCGCTGCTGCTGTCCTGTTCCGAATCCTGATTGGTTCAAGGCCGTGGGACCGCTGTCCCCGAGCGTGCTATAGAGCGGCCCTGGAGTCGTGGGCGGGATAGCGTAGGCTTCTGCAATGCGAGACAGATCTTCCTCGCCCATGAGAGGGAAGAGATCTTGGATAAAAGCGTCGAAGTCGTCGCTAGTCAATATCCCTTGGGGCACAAACATAGCACCTTCGTTGGCATTATGCTACGGAATGTCAGAATCATCGGGCTGGGATGAAGTGAGGGGGTGTGTGCTTACTCCTGATAACATCCTGACCCCGTTCACTTCTCCAGCGAGAAGCTGTTCTGATGGTCTCTTGCGCAGGATATCCCCATCCGTAACCGGCAAGAAAGCCCATTGGCCATACTTTGTGTTACTCCCTATAGAAAGGCTCGCATTCTGTAAAGAAAGAGTATCTTTTGCTTGCAGACACTCGAAAACAGTCGGATCGTCCATATCGAGTGACTCGCTGAGGCATCCAACCTCCTGTGCGAAAAGACGATAGAACTGAGATGGTACATCATCATCATAGTCCCACTGCCCAGGTAGGTAGGGACTGGCAACAATAGCGTTATTGAAAAGTGCAGTGCCTAGACTGCCACCGAATGCCATGGATAGCAGCATGACGCCACCTGCTCCAGCAGATTCGCCAGAGACGGTAACTCTTGAAGGATCTCCACCGAAGGCTCTGATATGCTTCTGCACCCATTGCAGGGAGAAGAGCATATCATATAGCCCTGCATTTGGCGTTCCAAATTGGGCAACCTCTGCTGAGGACAAAAAGCCAAACGCTCCAAGACGGTACTGTATAAGGACCACTATGAAGCCGTGGTTGTTCGTCACTACCATCTCCGACATATCGTTGTCTCCAGCTCCGCTTCCATATCCGCCTCCATCTAGAGCCATATCAGTCTATGCCTTCTGGGAAATGGAAGGGGAACGAGGAACACTTACGGATCCAAACCATTACCGGGAGATTCACAGCGTTCTTGGGTTGAAACACACTCAAGAACAGGCAGTCTTCATTCCCAACTCCTCCGTCCGGAAATACATAGCCACTCGGCCTCCATTGCGTTAGAGAAGAAGGCTTGCAGTTGAGTTCTGGGTACTTACATGGGAGAATCGAAGCCTTGCGGGCAGCGTGGAGGATAGTTCTTTGCTGGTATCGTGTGGCTTCGATTCACAGCTGGTGTTTGTGGTCGCTGCCATCTCAGCTTTCCAAGCGGCGGGGCTGCATAACGTATCCTTCATTTCATATCATCAGCACCATTCCTTTCCTTTCCTTTCCCACGTTCCCATCGGAGAAGAGAGAGATCAATCAACATACCCCTTGAAGACATTCAACTGGGTCGTCTCGTCATAATATCCTTCGTAAACAGCATATCCCAAATCAACCACAGGGTCTGCCTGCGAAGCATCGACAGCATCCCTTTGTCCGTGCTGGATCTTGATCTTTGTACCTCGTTCATCAATAACCACAGCCGAAGACACAACCGCAAGATACGAAACTAGGAGGCAGAAAGGCGGTGGCATCAGCATCCTGAACAATATATATATGTATATATATCCAAAGACTCCTAGAAATTAGAATGCCTCTAGGAAATATAACCCCCCCCTTCCATCTCTCCAAGGCGCGAACCCTAACATACATATAATCAACACGACGTTCCCTAAGAAAGAAAAGGCCCAGTGACCCTTTTTTTTTTCCCTCTTTCCCTCTGCTAGCTACATACCCTCCCTCATGACCTACTCTACTCTACTCCCCCCCCCATCCCCATCTTGGCTGGCCAACCCCTAACTAACCCGCGCCAACCCTCACGCGTTCTTTCTTTCCCTTTCTCTCCTAAGCCCTCACAAGTTCACACCCAGACCCAGACCCAGCCAGGTCCAGGTCTAGGCCTCGCCTCTCTTCTCTGAGACAATAAACATGCTGAAGCTAGCACGACACGAAAACTTTAAAAATTCCCAAAAATTGAAAAGTTCACCCCAAAAAAATAAAAAAGAAAGACCAGCCAGCCGCGTTCCTGACTGACTGAGCAGCTCCGTTCCTCGGAACGGTGGTCCCTTCTGTTGTCTCACTCACTCACCGCCAGCCAGCCAGCCAGCAAGCCAGTCAGCCAAGAAGAATCGGGCTGCGTTAAGCGTTACTTTACTATGTTGCTAGGTATGCTACACAAACTCACTACCTATCTTACCTTACCTTATCTTACCTTATCTTACACACAGTACTAAGCCTACCTACCTAACCTACCTAACCTATTCACTCGGCAGTTGCAATTAGAGATGTCGAGAATAGATAAAAAAGGGCCCGTGTACGTGGCGCGCAGATGATGCGAGATATATATGGTGTGCAGAATGCGGGGTTGATTACCTAGTCTAGAACGGGAAGACCAGGGGCTGGGCCGTGTGTATGTTTGTTTTTATTGGATGACGAGTCTAGATGGTGAGTGCACGAGGCAGCACGAGGGGCTTTCAGGGGGGACAGGGGAAGGGGAAGGGGAGGTTGCCTCGTGAGCGGATTCCGGGTAAATAGGATTGATTATAGGGGGGGGGGGATGTTTGACTGACTTTTTATGGGCTTTTTCCTCGAGTCGCGTGTTGGAGGATATAGATAGGTGTCACTGATGTCTCGGATGGAGCGGTTCTTGTTCTCGTTCATGAAAGGAGGAGGTTTTCGGCCAAGAGATTGATGAATATGAGAAGAGAGCGCCGAGCGAGGTCGATTTAAATATCCTATCTATGGTAGGTACCTTACTTACCTATAGTCCTATACTACCGACGGGTGCTAATAATGCCAGAGACTATTTGTCGCCCTATGGCTCGGTTGTGAACGCCAAGTATTGTTCCGTACCTTAACTGACTGAGACATTCCCGTTCGGCATCGCACCCGAGTCGGGTATCATCAACTAGTGCATGACCACCGCGACGTGGTCATCCATATAGGGGCTGATATCCCCCAGAAAGCACGCCGCGAGGATACTGACCGACCCAAACGCGATGCTCGTATAGTAAACGTACTTGTAAGCGTGGGCAAAGGCCTCCTGTCCCGCAAGGACCACCATGTTATACGCCGTCTCGTTGCCCGCAATGCCCGGGATCGTGTGGAGCAACGGGAGGAGACTGCCCGACGTATACTCGATGGCGGCGCCAATATTACTCCCGTTGGTGATGTGGAGCTCGAGCGCCATGAGCTCGCCTATCATCTTGGTGGCGGCCGGGACGAACTTGTTGACGAAAACATTGTAGTAGACGCAGTATCCGATCGAACCCCCGATCACCCGGACAGCCAGAGTAAGAGCAGCAACGGTCGCGATAAGGTCGTCGGGGCAGATAATGGTGGTGATTATAGACGCGGGAACTACAATGCCGCCGATTCCAAGGCCGGCCACAACTAGAACACCCCAGAGCTGGTGAAGATTGAAACGAGTAGCACAAGCGAGAGCGCCGCATCCTATCTAACCATTCAGCAAGAGATCGATCCGAGTACCAAAAAGGTAAAATAGGCCTCACCGGCTGTCATGGTAACCGAGCTGATAATCATCAACTCCCTGTTTCTTCCCTTGAATACAGATAGGCACCACAAGACAATGACGGCACCAGCGAGGATAGAGAATCCTGTTGGAATCCCGCGGAGACCTACACCAATGGGATCGTGGCCATATACATTAAAGGCTTGAGTAGGCCAAAACATCAGGATGGAGAAGAAGTTGGCACCAGAGATGAACGTGATAATGAGCGTCAGAATGAGAATTCGGGGGGCTTGTTTCAGGCGGGATGGGAACATGGGGAACTTGGCACCATAAGCTTCCCAGAAGCAGAATGCAACAATGAGGGCGAAGCCTAGAATGAGAGGAGCAAGGACGTGGGCTGAAGACCATTTGTACTACCCATGGTCAGTACATAATCCATCAAAGGGTTGAGACGAGCCAACCTGATATCCACCCCATTGCATGCCAGCCATGAATAGAATCATCCCTGATATGCTAAGAAAGCCCCCCAAAAAGTCAATCTGGAGAATGATCTCCTTCGTTGATAGACCCTTGGAGTTGACACGCGGTGGTGGGAAGTAGAAGAACAACGTAAGGAGGAATCCAATAGCAGCCCAAACGCCACATATGAGGCCACAATAGCGCCATGTGGAGTGATAGGCGATGAGCTGAGCCCATAACACCGAGGGACAGTAGGGAAGAATGGTGAAGATTAAGACTGCGACATACTTCCCACGCTTTGCGGTGGGTGCAAGTTCGGATGTGGCAGCAAGGGCAGTAAGTTCGTTAATCCCCGCCCCAACCCCCGCAAGGGACATTCCGCCTTCACGATAAATCAGTTGAGGTCTTCTCCAATTAGTTGTAGACACTTACCAATGAAAACGTTCATTTTATGGGCTGTTGAGCAAACAATCATCCCGAGTATGATGAAGAACGCTCCCATCAATGCTACATATCGACGGCCGAGGAGATCAGAGAGTGATCCCACAAAAGGACATACGCCAGCTAGCGAGAGTAAATTGGCAAGTACAAACCAAATCCAGCTATACAGTAAAAGATTAGTCTCTCCCAGCGAGGATTTTGGGGAAAGGACTCATACCGGTCGACACCTCCAATATCTGAGTAAATATAAGGTGGAATAGAGCCTGATGCCCATCATCAGCCAACGAGAAACATCATCTTGAGAGGATGACCAACCAAAAAGATAAACAGGAATTTGAGATCCAGTCCAAAGGCAGGCCATGGCCACCAAGGACATCATGCGCCTGAAGGACATCTGTCAAGCTGGTCAGCGAAGAACTATGACTTGGAAAAGTCGGGTATACCTTAGGTTCAATATCATGATCCTCATCATCACCGTAGATTCTGAGACCATTCTTTTCATGATTATCTTCATGATCAAGGGGGCTCTCACTGGTCGTAGTCGTTTCATTGTATTTAGAACTGATACCCTTCTCGTCGACGACACCAACACCATTGCTGGCGGTCGCAGGGGACAAAACTTCATTCATGGTAGAGTATAACCTTATGGTGTCCGGAAAACAAGAAGGTTTTATGGCTACTTGGAACTGCCAGGGCTCCCGAGGAAACAAAGCGTCAAGACGAACAAAGCGTCATAAAGCCAAACATTCTCTGGGAAAGTGCTATGGAGCCCTCACCAAATTCTTTATCCAGAATCGAGGCATTTGAACGTTCGGGTTCTCCTTTATGTACACCATTACACGTGCAAAGCACCGCGGTTGGCGTTTTGTCCAGATCAAGCCCATTGCTCGTGCGTATCAAAAGTCCTCACACTAGGTTCGATCGAGAGTGCGTTTCCGAACAGTCGATCGCAATATACCAGGCAGTTGGTCAAGTTCAATGAAGCTTCTTGCAAAGGGCTGCAAGTCAGCCTATCAAGATCATCTGCCATGCGAATCGGCTGGAACGAAGCCTTTCCCCGCATTTATGCCGGCCCTAGACCTCCCGTTCCATGGAACACCCTACCTATAGACCCCGCAGATCGTTCGGGGAAGTGGGAAACAGCGAAAACCTGGGCCCCAACCATGAACCGCTCGAGCGGCTACGAGACCAAGGTGGACGCTATGCGCGATTTATATCGTAGGAAACCACAGGGTTCGTACTATCTCTGCGCTGAGGAATTACTCGACCGAGATCATGGCAAGATTCGAGCGCTGGCGCTGTCCTGACGTTGAAGCCTTGTGCAGATGGAAGTGTTGTTGCGCCCTAGCAGCGTCTCGTTTGGCTCAGATGATATGCCTCGCAGGCATCGTTAGGGAACGACACTGTAAATGAGACGGAGGCTGATTGTATGATGGTTGGGCAGTTCAAGGCTTGAAGGAATTTTGAAAGACTTGGGAGCAGATACGCATTGAGCAAGTTAGGTAGGTAGAGTATAGTCTTAGGGATTGAAGGATAATCATCAATACACCGGACTTAGGAAACCGAAATCAGAGGTCAATGCCGCAGCTTTTCCAGCCATTCTTCCACCAATCCCTCGATAGCCTTATGGGTCCTTGCAATCTGGCAATCGCTTTGATAATCTTCGGGCTGTTTTTGTTTTTAATCACTTCTCTTTCTCTCATACTTTCTCAAGCTATGACTGCCAGGTGTTGCTGACCGTCACAGCTGTCGCGCAAGTTGCTGGAACGGTATATGTGTGGTTTGGGTCTGCCTCCCAGGTGACGTCGCCGTTGCTCGCTACGTTGATGTATTTGTACTGGATTACAGTGCCAGCAGGAAACGACACTGTTCCCTCCCAAAGAGGGTTCGAAGAAGTGTAGCGCGAGCTTGATAGCGCATATGCGTCCGAAGTATCCCAGTTTCCAAGAATGGCTTGGTTACCTGCGATCTTAATGGTCTCCCCGTAGGTGGTTGTCACTGTTTCATCGAATGTCACAGCAACAGATGTGGCTGTCGAACAGGAAGACGCTGTGGTCGATGGATAACTGCCTGAGGTGGGAGTTTGGTTCAGGGGCCAGGTGCCGGTAGAAGCTGTGGAATAGGTGCCAATTGCAGATGTAGATGAGCACGTCGCTGGGAGGCTAGAAGCGGTTGGCTCTCCCCAAGAGTATGGAACAACACCTGCTCGACGAGCTGCCGCAGTTAAGAAAGCAGCATATGACCATGTCAGATCGTATGCGGAAAGCGGGCTGCCATCAGATCGGGAAAACTGCTCAGATAGCGATCCATTGGACTGTGCATATGTTGCGACAATGCTCATGTAGCCATCTGCGTAGGTCTTAACTGCGTTGTACAGAGTCGTATACGTCGAAGATGAAGAAGCATATGTGCCGACAGTGATTGACGTATCGAAGTCATTGAAGAATGCTAAGGATGTTGAAGTAACAGTGATATAACCCAGTTTGTCCCATGTGTAAAGCGCATCGTACAGTTGTTCAGCTGCGGCCAGAGTATTGAGATACCATGGATTGCCACCTTGATAAGAATCTTCTGGGTAACGGCCCACAGCGACGGCGGTTCCCTCGGGAATACCAGAGTTGAGGGCATAAATGGAACGGAACGAATCAGTGACGACTTTGTGATTCGCCAAGGCCCGATCAGAGCAGCTAGAAATGGTTAACGGGAGAGTTTGAAGAAACAAGATTGAACGTACGGCTGGAAAGTTGTTGCATCACATCCTGCATCAGGATCAAAGGTCTGAATGGAACCAAGGAGTGTGTTCGCATCTTTTCCAGTCCGGCCGTTATTCTCATTGATATTGGCCAGAATATAGCCTTGAGATGGACTCCAGAAACTTTGAAGGAAGCAAAGAACTTGAGGAGCTTGAGAATCACAATATGTACAGGATTTCCCGAGGAGGGAGGCGAGTGCACTTCCTTCCACAAGTGCACGGTGCTGTGCAGCAAGTGTGAAGAAACTTGACCCATCTACCTCCTCCCACAAATCAAAACCAGTGTTGTTCCTACAATATCAATCAGCGAATAGAAATCATTGATGAAGGCTATATCCCACCAATACTCCGCTACATAACTGAGGTCGTTCTGGATGATTGGCCACACAAGAGAACTTGCAGTAGACGAGTATCCATTGTTGATCAGCCATTTCGAGTATGCAACCAGTGCTGTAGCACGAAGAGCTGGACCATCTCTCTGTGGGCGACCCCAAGAGCCTGTAAAGGCTGTCTCATCAACGTTAAATTTTGGCTCGCCAAGCCCTCCGGTTGACAGTCCTCCTGAGGGGTTTGAAATAGTCTGGATGTAGGCCTGGGCATCAATGTAGTTCTCGATTTCCGTCTGGAGCGAGGAAGAGTAATTGCTGATGAAGGTATCGACAATGCACTTGAAAGTCAAGGCCGCATCACGGGACCACGTATAGAAATCTGGACAGTGTCAGAGGACTTTACGCATAACCATCGAGATGGAGGGCATAGGGGTAAGACAGTCTGGGTTCACACGATCCGGACTAGCAACCACAACCCCCGAACTTGCGCCTGCAACGCATTCTCCAGCAGACCCAATATTGCACAGCAAGTCAGCTAGTGCGATCGGGGTTTCCGTCTCAATGAATGAGTCCACAGAGCGTTTCAGGAGTTGGGCTTCACGTTCCTTGACGCCTCTGCCTCGCTCGGGAAGGCCAATGGCGGTCTGCAAAGCAAGACCACTGACCAATAGAAGAGATGTGAAGGAATGCATGGTGGAATAAACAACTGTTGACGTGAGACTGAAGTTGCTGAAGGGCACAAGTGACGAAGAGAGAGTGGACTGAAAGAGGTCCATGGCCGTTTTATATTGATATTGAGGTCCTGAGCTTTGACCCCGGACTCTGTACACTGTACTTCAGTATCTAGACTTTGGCTCCGGAGTATGGCCCCTGTGACTCCAGAGTATGGCCGATGTTGGCGTCGCTATGGGACTGCGATGCGCATCAAAGGTTATAAGACGACGACGCTGGACCAGGGTCGGGCAGCGCGGTGGCGAAAGCTTCTTTTCTGTACAAGGATTACCAAGGTCCGGGGTATGTCGACGGGCATAGACTACTCCCCAGAGACCACAGCCAGGGAGGAACGGGAGGAGGCTTTCGGTGTTGATAATTGATTGAGGTTGCAGCAGGAGAGATCTCTCGCTTGCCAGATAAAATTATAGATTCACGCATAGGGAAACCTCCTCCTACAGTACAGTGCCTACTGTAGAGTACTGTGATATGTAAAAGTACATATGATATGCAACATCGACAACAACATCAATATCCCGCATCATATCCGCATTCTCCGTGCTGAGTCCTCTACTCACCTTCCTGCTCAGGTCCTCCAGCCCCGCAGAAAGGGCACTACAGACTACAGAGGTACATCCCCCGTCCACTTATCGGTCCGCCCCGGGGGTTCTGCGCGATCCCAGGCTTGTCTCTGGCACATGCCTCTATTCAGCTGGCTTGTGAAGTTGATAATATGATGTATGTTATATCTTGGGATCTCGAGAGCCCTCGAGAGTCGACACATACCAAGCCGGGGTCGTCCAGGGTTGAACCACTTGAAGCTTTGCAGAAATTTCGGCATTTATGTAGAGTTCGCACCGAGAAACAACCGTTTCTTTTTTGTGAACTGCCCTCGGGCTTTGCATCATCTTCTCTCTTCTCTATGCCAGTCCATCCATGAAAGGCTGATCGAGGCTATGCAGGCAGCTACCCTCGGTCCGCTTCAACCCAATGCACCCCAGAGAGTAGCATCTCCCATGATATCACCCGGCACATATCAATGGAAGACGGTTCGGCGCCGAGGGAACTTCAGTTGGGAGAAGTATGGCACATAGGGTTACCCTGTTGTAGGCACAGCCAGAGAAGACTGAGAGAATTCCTCCATCTTGGCTCCATCTTCTTATACCACATATTCTAACGACAGCAAGGCAGAATGCATCTTAGGTGAGGTACTGCTGCCATGTCGGATATGTCCTTATGTATAATACAAAGAAATGTTTGCGAGAAAATAGGACCTTGGCAAGGAACTTGAAAACTCTGCAGATTGGCAACGTGTTAGCGTTGTCATATTCTCCTACTGTCTCCCAGTATTGAGTCGTAGCAAGCTACGAAACCGTATCATGAAAATGCCATTCGTATCTAACAATTGTATCAGACACATTTCCCCTTTAACAAATGTATTCCCTGACGACATGTCAATGGTGGGTGTCGCCAGGCCGGTGTATCCCTTTCTATCCTATATACTGTGCTCCGTCTCGTCTGAGCTCCCAGCTGTCTGTGATATTGTCGCTGTGGATCTTCGACTGGCACACGATGCGGTCTCGCAAGTCGATTCTCCCAAAATCGAAATGTAGGCAAGTTACGGTTTGTCTCGAACCTCATGGACCAATGGCCCCGGTCGGCAAAGAAGTGGAATGTAACGCCTTTTAAGTACACTCAGTCCACCGAGTTCAAGCCCGTGAAGGCGAACTCAGGCTTCCCAAGGACCAATTGCTCTGAGATTTGTCGATCGGATGATTGACACCATGTTGGCCCGTAAAGGCTGATGGCTCCATAGACATCGAACTGCCTCAGCAATCAACCTTACAACGCAGCTGCAAGCAGTTGGTTGAAGGGATCGCTGGGCACAAATCTGTTGTTGTGAGAAAAGAAAAAGTTTGGAGCCTTCGAAGGAAATAAATACTTTATTCCCCAGCACATTCGCTTAGCATACGCTAGTCTTAATCGGCTCTAGCCGTTTTCCACTCTTGACAAACTGACCTCACGCAGCGCGAGTCCCAGGCTTCTTGATTCCAGAGCACCTCCATCTTCAAGATCCAAGACAGACAGTTTTCCAACATGGCGGACACAATATCCATCGAAGAGACGAATCGGATACGGGTGTCCCTTGGTATGAAGCCGCTACCTGTCCCAGGAGCAGCTGCCACCGGTCCCGTTTTCAAGGAAGCGTCATCCACCCCCGCGGAAGATGAAGGCAGTACGCTCGAGTCAAGGCAGGCCGAAAGCTACGAGAATTACCGCAAGCTTCAAGAGGCCGAGAAAGCCAAGCAAAAACGCGAAGCAAAGGCTGAAGCTATCAAGAAGGCACGAGATGCAGCGAAACGATTTGCGAAGCTTGAAGGCAAAGGTCTCGGAGATGCAGACGATGACGCGGATCTAGATACGAGAAGCTGGTTGATAAAACAGAAAAAGAGGCAAAAGGAGATTGAAAAGGCCAGGAAGCTAGAGAAAGAGCTGGCTGAGGCCGAAGCGGCGGCCGAGTACACTGCAGCCGACCTTGCTGGTGTGAAAGTTGGACACGAACTAGATAACTTCCAGGAAGGCGAAGAACAAGTTTTGACTCTCAAGGACACAACTATCGACCAAAATGAAGAGGAAGGTGATGAGTTGGAGAATTTAGAACTCCGCGAAAGAGAACGCCTCAATGAGAAGTTAGAACTCAAGAAGAAGAAGCCTGTGTACAATCCGAACGATATCGATGAGACTGGCGAGAAAAGTATCTTGGCGCATTATGATGAGGAGATTGAAGGAAAAAAGGCCAAGAAATTCACGCTTGATGGCAAAGGAAGCACGGCTGAAGCGGATGCTGCGAATGGATATGTGTCACAAGCAAAACCGAAAGCAATAAGCCTGGATATTCTGAGTAAGTATCTCTTAATCCCCAACTCCGCGTTTCTGTTAGTGCTATTTCTAACTGGCGATCCAGAAGACGAGCCAATGTCCGATTATTTGGATATTTCAGAAATCAAAATCAAGAAGCCGAAGAAGAAGAAGGCTAAATCAACCCGCCAGAAGGTCGTGGATGAAGATGATATCTTTCCATCGGTTGAAACTGCAGATACACCCGTTGAGAATGGAAACTCAATGGACATCGACCAGCCTGCCGGAGCTTCGAAGAAGCGATCATTCCAAGACATGTCATTCGTCGATGACGATGAGTTGGCAGCTTCGCTCGCCGCACAGAGACGAAACGCTCTTAAGAAACGCCAGAAATTGCGTCCAGAGGAGGTAGCGCAACAATTGCGAGAAGAGGCCTCGGCCCCTCCTGCGGAAAACGAAGCAGAGGAGCCAGCCGGTTTAGTGATCGATGACACATCAGAATTTGTTGCAAATATACAGAAACCATCTGCGCCAGAGAGGAAAAGAAGATCTACTTCCCGACAGGCCGAACATGCAACTGCAATGGAAGCAGAGTCGGACGAGGAAGGTGATGTCAACATGGATCGATCCTATGCAGACATCGAAGATGAAGAAGATCGTAAAGCCCGAATCAAACGAGAAGAATCTGCGCATCCAGATGTGACAAACAATGGTCTTGAGGAAGAGGCAACTCTTGATAAGGGCCTTGGATCAACTCTGAAACTTCTGAGGGAGAGAGGCATACTCAAGACCGAGAATTCTGAAGATCTTAATGAGCAGTTTAGGAGAAAGCAGTTGTTCCTCGCCGAGAAGCAACGTTACGAGGCTGAGGCAGAACGTAAAGCTCGAATGCAGAGAGAACGGGATCGTGCCAGCGGCCGTCTGGACCGAATGTCCGCTCGAGAGAAAGAAGAGTATGCCAGGTCGCAAAACAACTATCGTGATCAACAAGAATCCCGTCTGCTTGCGGAGCATTTCAACAAAGAATACAAGCCGAATGTGACATTGAAGTACATTGACGATTTTGGCCGAAGCATGAACCAGAAGGAGGCGTTCAAGCATCTATCACATCAATTCCATGGCAAAGGCAGTGGAAAGCAGAAGACAGAGAAGATGCTGAAGAAGATCGAGGACGAGAAGCGTCAACTGGCTCAGAGCTCCCTGGACGGCAGTCAGATGGGTGGCATGAGCGGAGCTACTGCGCAACAACTCAAGAAGCAGAAACAGGCCGGTGTGAGATTGGCATGATTACTGGGAAGACGAACTGGGCGTACGATGGATTTGATAAGACTAGAAAAGGTGCAACCTCCTTACATTGTTGTACTTATAATTACTCAATGCTGACAAAGTTATGAGAAGAGAGGCGTCCAAGAATTCGCGAGACCAAGGAGCCTAGGTATTTAGACATCGTGAGTGATACCTATACTCCATTTCTACTAACCTACCCATTTACATGGTAGGTAAGTAAGCAGGCCTTCCCTTTCCTCTGTCATGGGTCACTGTCATTTCCCACCTGCTGAATTTGATCGACGACCATGCGATCAGAGGCAGCTGTTGAAGTCCTTGCCTCTGCCTCCCAATCATTTCACTCCCAACCCAAAGAGTCTTTCACACTTGACTTGTCCCTTTCTCTCATACTGTATTTGTCATCTCCAGTCTTCTCGCAAAGTTGGTTGCAAGACTGCACAAGTATGATTGGAGCACACCTGCCCCGGAGTCAACTCCAACAATTTTTATAGCTGAGAGTTTGGTTCGCCATCAGACGCTCACCAGAATTTCTCGGTCAGATTGTTAGGAGTTGATAATACCGAATGTCTTACAAGGTAGAATGCTCGCTACTTATTCTATTATATACACATATATATATATACATGACTAAAGGGGCCTTCGCAATTTCGACCCTAAAAGGGTGTCTTACGTATCTTCTTGTCTAAGTACAACCTTGGTTTCACATGGGACAGCCAAGTAGGATAGTTTCAGTACATATTTTACGAGCCCAGACCGGAAAGAGCTGTACTAGGCATGTGATTAGTTTCGGTATGCCTTTTACGTGGTTTCAATCTCCATGGATGAATACACACACACACACACACACACACACACACACACATATATATATATATATACATATATATTCCCTCAAACTGTTTGCTTTTTGTGTCACATCATCCCTACACGCTGGAACTTCGGGTACGGCAGAATGGTTATTCGGCCTCTGGTTATTCGATCGTTCGGCAGACCCTTGCTTTCGATTACACACAGCATACATCAGGTGAACGTTCTCCTTACCAGTCATAGTACAAGTCTGTATACCTTTGAAGTCGCGCCTGATGTTTCTTTCAAACTTAATCAATTCGGCAAGGCACCGATTACTAACGTCTTGAGCAAGTATGGTGTGAAGGACTTGAGATAATATATATTACCATAAAATCTTTGTTTCAGACGTTATTGGTCTCGGACCTCCTATAGAGCCTACTGAATGTCATTTAACTAAATGGCTTTTTTCTTTTATGGTTCATCAGAACTCAGGTCTAGTGCGGCCTGCATCATCCAAATGTGTTCCATAGCCAGCAGTATTATGATTCTACTGTGATAGTCGGTTATTAAGAAGGAGAAAGTAACTCTGAATCATACCGGGCAATAACGCTCTTTCTCAAATCTCGCATGAAGCTGTTGGACTATTTATACGACACACGAAACCTACAATTTTGCAAAACCAAACTTCTAAACTTCAAATCAATCCACCATGGCAAACTCAGGATACGTTCACGTATACGTACCACAGAAGATCACCCCGGATGAGTTTCAAATAGGCATGATGCTTCCCTTCACCTACACAAACGAGCAAATCGCAGCAGCAGTCATCGACCACGTTATGAGGAGAGGCGAAGATCAAACACCAAAGCAGAAGCAAGGTATCAAGCGCTTCAAAGATAACGGTTCCTGGAACTTAGGAGCTGGACGAGACAACCTTACAGACTTGAAGAAGTTCTTTGACATCTTCAACGATGTCTTCTTCAATGGTCTTTTGACGGGGTTCTGTCGACTTGAATTCAAATCAGACTATTGGATGACTAGACATGCAACAGCGGGAACAGATGGCTTCTGTGAAATGATATATCCAGGATATCAATCCGACAGAAGAATTAGGAACAAAGACCCTGTCGTACTCATCGCCCTAAACAGCTCGATTGATGAGCCGCGTCCAGCTAATTATATGACAAGATGCTTAGATAATCTGGCGCACGAGATGCTCCACGCCATCTTTCTTATATACGCCCGCCCAAGCAAGTCTGACCCCGGACACCCTCTTGCATGGCACGCAGCAGCTTACGCCATCAAGCAAAGAACGAAGACCCGCAACGTGGCAGATCCCCTCTTGGGGCTAGATCTGCACTTCAAGAGGCATCTGTGTATGGCTAGTGACGTTCAAGATGAAGGAGCGAATATACCTAGTGCTTCAGAACTCCGCAGGGTAGGGCTGAATATCAAAATTATCCTGGCGCATTTGTACAATTTTCGTTCTTGGAGGTCTGTCGAAACAGGACCGAAAAAGTATTTCAAAAGAAACACGTGCATTAGAAGCCACTGGACTTTCGACAGCTAGGAGGAGAACTATTGACGTGCTTTTTTTGGGGGGGGGGGGGGTGGGGGCGAGAGGGCCCAGAGGGGAGGGGGGTAAGGGTTGGTTCTTCAACCTTGGTAAACAGTTGAGTTCTTCAATCTTGGTACACAGTTGATTTCATCAAAAGCTACGGATCTTGCGATGTGGTAATAAAGCCATGTACTAGTCCCCTTTAGTAGTGGTTGAGGCACGAGTCCGTTACCACCTCCTGCGATAGCCGGGCAACATCAATTCAACCATGGGTTCAATCTTTCAACCTTTATATATGAGACACCTTGTTCGCAAAAGTAAGTTATTTCTTTCAGATCGTCGTAGTTAGAGGCAAAGCTGCCTGCTTGCAACTGCCGATAGTTGTGAACATGCGGTCAATCTATTGTCATCTTGCCTTCTTCCCACTGTTCTTGGAGCCCATACTCTCAACCCCTACTGAAGCCCAATATTTTCCACCTGTATCTCAAGGAGTGGTGACTTTACAATCAAAGTTCCACGAAGGCATTACAATTTCATACAAGGAAGTCCGTACTTATCTTTTTCGTTGCTCCTGGTGATTCTCCGAACTTCGTCCAGGGCTTCTGACCAACCCCGATCTTTCATGTAGCCCGGAATCTGTGAGACGACCCCTGGGGTGAAGTCTTATTCAGGTTATGTTCATCTGCCCGCTGGATTTCTTCAGGCTGATTGGGAGGATTCGCAAGATTACCCGATCAATACGTAAGATCCACGAACCAGCCGTCTGAACGAGTTATGCTGACACGGGTAGCTTTTTCTGGTTCTTCGAGTCTCGGAAGGATCCAGCAAATGCTCCTCTCTCTATATGGCTAAATGGCGGCCCTGGAGGCTCATCTATGATGGGTCTTCTGCAGGAGAATGGGCCCTGCTTCGTCGGGAGTGATTCCAACTCCACATACCTGAATCCGTATTCATGGAACAACGAAGTCAACATGCTCTACATTGACCAGCCAGTCCAAGCCGGCTTCTCGTATGACGTGGCCACCAAGTGTACTGTTAATCTAATCAGTGAAGATGATTTCAGGCCTCAAACTCAGGTGGGAGACTTCTCCCAAGGTGTGCCTATCCAGAACACCACCTTCCTTATCGGCACGATGGGAAGCCAGTCGAAGAGGAGCACTGCAAATACGACAGCTCATGCAGCACACGCAATTTGGCATTTTGCACAGACATGGTTCGAGGAATTCCCGTTCTACAAGCCGAATGACGAAAAAATAAATATCTGGACTGAAAGCTACGGAGGGAGGTACGGGCCAGGCTTCGCATCTTTCTTTGAAGAACAGAATGAGAAGATTGCAAACGGTGCTATCGCTGGTCCTGGTGCCCATTATCTTCACCTCGATACACTTGGGATCATTAATGGGTGTATTGATAGAGTATGCTTAGCGATGGGCTACGCCGACATGGCATATAATGTGAGTTCTACCTCATATGCGATCGGATGATCCTAATGTCTGCAGAACACGTACGGCATTCAAGCCTACAGCGAGAGTATGTACCAAAAGACAGTGGAGAACTACACGGCTCCGGGAGGATGCCAAGACAAGCTCCTAAAATGCCGCGAACTGGCTGCTGAACGAGATCCCAAGAATCTTGGTGGCGACGAGGAAGTCAATGCTATATGCTTAGAAGTAAGAGACTGTTATAACGCGATATTGACGAACCCCTATCTAGATACAAACAACGTATGGATGTTCTTCCCGAGAGCGCCTCGGCTATAACGACTGACTGTGATAGTATGGATGGTATGATATCGCCCATCCGAGAGCCGACCCGACTCCCGAACCATATTTGCGTGGCTTCTTGAACCAGCATTGGGTTCAGAGTGCTCTTGGCGTGCCAGTAAACTATACAGCTAGTTCTCAAGCTGTCAGCGGTGCCTTCTCCGACACTAGTGACTTCTCACGCTCCGATTCTCTCGAGCAAATCACCTATCTGTTGGAGAAGGGTGTTAAAGTTTCCTTGGTGTATGGAGACCGGGATTTTGCTTGCAATTGGATCGCTGGAGAACGAACCTCACTTGCGATCGAGTATTCAGGAAGTGCTGAATTTCGCGGGGCCGGATATATGCCAATCATCACCAATTCCACTTATATTGGTGGGCAGGTCCGTCAATACGGGAATCTCTCGTTCTCAAGAGTCTACCAAGCTGGACATGAAGGTATGAGCTTCCCTCAGCTTGAAGACCCTAGAAATGACACTGACCGTGCAAAAGTTCCTTGGTATCAGCCGGAAACTGCTTATGAGTTGTTCATGAGAGCCCTGTTCAACAAGGACATGGCTACAGGTCTGTTGCCCATACGGGATGACTACCAGACCGTTGGTCCGGCCTCAACTTGGCACATCAAGAACGAAATTCCTGAGCGGCCAGAGCCGGTTTGTTATATCTTGGCACCCAGTACCTGCACTAAAGAGCAATATGATACAGTTATTAATGGAACGGCGATAATTGAAAATTACATAGTGGTCGGTGCCACGGAGTAAGATACGAAAATTGGATATGGCCAGAAGATGTTTGGCGGAGATAGATAAGATTTAGATCTCGCTATTCTTCGGCTTTCGCCAGTTAAAAAGGGATGTTTCTGCTCGTAGAGAGCCAACTGGCCCGGACATAGTAAAGAAACCCCATTGAGATCATGAATGCTAGAGAGAAATATTATGAATGACTGACCATGTCCCTAAACCACACAACAAATTGGTTTTACAGATAGATAGATATACATGTACCCTGATCATACAAAGTTTGAGATCTATAACAAGACCTTGCCTTTCTTCGCCGGCTGCTCCTGCATGAACCCACCCGCAGAACTTCCCTCCGACTCCTCCCCGATCTCTATATCAGCTCCTTTTTGCAAGTCCTCGTCATACTTCCTAACCTGCTCCTCGATCTGCTGCTTCGTAGCCACGTTCCCATCCGAGCCAAGAAGCACCTCCTCCCGCGGCGGCAGTCCCAGAGCCTCTCTCTGTTTTCTAAACCTCTCCTTCACCTTCTCCGTCTGCATGATCCTCCACCTCAACTTCCAGCCACCCATTCCCAACTCCTTAATCCTGCCGGCCTTCTCGCCCAACAAATACTCATCCAGGCCACCGCACTTATCCAGGGTGCGCAGCACTCTGGTCGTGACCCTGATGCGCACAAAGCCATTCAAGCTATCGCTCCACAACCGCCGCAGGTGCACGTTCGGCCGCCAGTACCGCCGCGTCTTGATCTCGTTCTTCTCCGACACCATGTTCCCGAACCGGATCTTCTGCCGCCCGTACAGCCCGAAGTTCGACTGCTTGTAGATGGTCGACGGCCCGTACGGGTACGCCGGGATCGCGCTGTGCTCTGCTTCGAGCCGCTTCATGCTGGACTTCGCGAGCGTGCGCGCCGTGCTGCTGAAGCTGCGCAGCTGCGTGAGCGAGGGGAGGGGAGTCGTTGGGAGGAGAGGAGGCATCGTGGTGCGTGGGCGGCGGGCGCCGATTGAGAGCCGGGAGGGCGTCAATGGGGTTTGGATTGTGTCGAGGGTGAGCCGGGGGTCGTTTTGGAAGGCCCGGTAATTGGTGATTCTCGTGTGGGAGTGTGCTGGATGGCCTCTTGTAGCTGGCCCTGATGGATGTTGAAGCTCTTCGATTTATTTTACTAGCGCAACATCCATGTCGCCGTACTGTTCGTCCTGGAAATTTAGGCACCAACTCCCCCCTTAACCTTTGCTTGCCAATGCCGTTTTATCTTGGATCGCAGAACACGATCTCCTGATATAAAGTCTAGGATTCTCTAATGATGGAAAAAATATCAGTGGAAACCTTGGACTAAATGTTTCTGAACCTATTGGTGGGGTTTATGTTGATGATATACGGAGAACTCGTTCTGCGCCCCCGTTCGTTCAACTATACGATGATTCACATTAGTATGCTCACTTGGAGCTTTCTATGTAGTACATATTGGAATCCTTTACAGATCGCATAAATTTCTATTCTTCTTTGATTTCCTCTTCAGTCATAGGAGTGTCTTTTATCTCCTCCTCAGCCTGCACCTCAGCCCTCTTCTCGGTTTCCTTCTCAGCCTCCTTTTCAGGCTCCTTTTCAGTCTTCTCTTCACTCTCCTTTTCAATCTCCTTTTCAGTTTTCTCTTCACTCTCCTTTTCAGTCTCCCTTTCCGTCTGATTCTCAGTCTCCTTTTGAGGTTCCTTTTCAGTCTCCTTTTCAGCCTCATTATCATTGGCAGTTTCTTCGGTTGGCGGCGGAATTTCCATGGTCATCTCGACATCTTCCTTCTCTTCTGTAGCAGGTTTGCTTTCCTCTAATGGTGGAGCATCCTCAATGGTCACATCTTTCATGTCTTCATCCTTCTCGTCCTCTTCACCCTTCTCATCCCTTTCATTCTTCTCATCAGGTTCAGCCTTCCTATCGTCTTCAATCTTCCCATGGTCTTCATCCTTCTCATCACTTTCGTCCCTCTCGTCCTTGTCATTCTTCTCCTCAGGTTCATCCTTTTCATCGTCTTCATCCTTCCCATCGGCTTCATCAGATTTCTGCATCGTGGAACTGCTCGATTCATCCTTAGCAGGGCTGGCAACCGTTGAGCTCTCTTCGGGTTCTGGCTCGGCTGCTGGAGGTTCGTCGTTCATTTCTACATCAGTTGTGACCTGCGAAGCGGCTGCTGTTGATTTCGGAACCGGGGACTGGCTTAACGAGCCACTCATCGGCTCGTCGGCGTCCGACGGAGCGGTGGTCGGCTCTCGGGAACTCATCTCGTTCCTCCTGGGTCGGCCGCCTTTCCGTTTGACATATCCGCTGTCTTCGTCCTCGCTTTCACTCAGCTCTCCTTCCGCTTCGGTTCGCTTATCCGATCTACGCTGCGTGTGACGGCTATCTTTGTTCTCGTCCTCATCGGCATCGTCGAGCATATCCTCGGTCTCCTCATCCAGCCCTAGAGATACCCGGGGAACGGGCTGTATTTGAACAGATGGGGCGAAAGTTGTCTCTTTCAGATTTTCAAATATCTTCATCTTGATCTTCTCTAGATATTCATACGAATTAGTATTAGGCATATCGGAAGCCTTGACATCAAGCTCATAATCAGGCGCATAATACTATCAAAAGTGTTAGGGCACGTTTGGTGTTGATAAAATTCTGATCGAAGGTCTCTCACCTCGTAGTACTCATGTGGTGGTAACTCAGATGGCAAATCCACCCCGACCGCGAGGCCCGTCTCGTACGCCCAGGTCCGAGATACATTGCGCATAGTGTAACCCCCGCCTCCAACGATTAATGTTGGCAGCCCGAAGGATTTGATGAAGTTCACGCAATTCGCGTGACCCCTCATGCTAAGGTTCAGGGAACCGAGCCGGTCGCCTGAAAGGCTATCCCCGCCGCATTGTAGGACTATCGCGCCGGGCCGGTATCGTTCGATGACCTTCCTCATTACCGGTTCGAAGATACCTTTATAGGAGGCATCGTCGATCCCGTGACGCAGTGGGAAGTTCACAGCGTAGTATTTCCCCTTGTCAGCCCCGACGTCCTGGAGTTCGCCCGTTCCTGGGAAAAATTCCCCGTATTGATGGAACGAGACCGTCATGACTCGGTCAGTAGTGAAAAATGCTTCCTCGACACCGTCACCGTGATGCACATCGATATCGACGTAAACAACGCGTTGATGGTATCTTAGAAGCTCGATGATAGCCAATACAATATCTAATGCCTGTGAGCGACTTTCATCCAATGCTATTTATCGGGACGTACCATTGACATAGCAAAAGCCACTCGCTTCGCTCTTCTTCGCATGGTGAAGTCCGCCAGCCCAGTTGACAGCGATATCACATTTTTTCCGACCTAACCGCGCTGCTCCCTCCAGACTCCCACCAGCGCTAATTGAACAGTACTCGAACAGGCCGTCGAACACGGGCGAGTCATCACCGACGTTGAACTTCATCTGTTCCTTGTTCATGGAGCCCATGTTTTCGTGGGTCACTTTTGAAAGAAAATCGATATAGTCCTCCGTATGGAACTGGGTCATCTCAAGTTTGGAGGCTGGTTGCGCGCGCTGAGGGACACAATTCAGTGAGATCTCCATACTTGGAAGATATCAGGAGTGAATATTGGAGTGAGAAAAACCAACTTTGATTTTTCAGGGTAGGAAATTAAACTTGAGGAGACGAAACTGCAAAAATACATGGGAGGGTTGCTCACAAATATTTTCATCTTGGTGTATAGGTCATAGTTCAGGATCAAGCTGTGCGCGAGCCTCACCCGGTGCTGCTTCATGGGGTGGCCAGACGAATATGAATAGTTCCCAATATTTTGATCGTAGAAATAATCTACCACCCTCCGTGACTCCCCCGAAAAAGAGGGAGGATCAACGGGAGCGTATGCCATGGCGAAAAAGTGCTGCTTTGAACTGCTGTGGTGATGGGAAAAGAAAGGGAGCAGAGGAGATGGGACGGTACGGAAGGGAAATGGGAGGAAAATAACTAGATAATGATGGGGTGAGTTTAGCCACCCGCTCGCGTATCTATGTCACGTGCATCCACTACCAGATCATGGATGGTAAAGGGACGATACAGGGCAGGGGTTTTCAACATCAATTCTCTATATCACTATTCTCCGGCTAAGGTAGAGACAAAGCAGACGCCATACAACAAATAAAATGTGTGTAGATTTACAGCAGTCCCTACTACATGTAGGTTGCAAAAGAAGACTCACTCCATCTCCAGTTTAACCACATCGACCCAATGCTCTAGAGCTTCCCTGGAACCCATCCCTTCCTCCTCTGCCCCATCATCTAAGTCTGCCAGGGAGTTCATAGATCCCCTTTCCTCCAACTTATTGCGTTCCTTGCGATCCACCGCCGAGTCTCGGGACTCCTTACTGCCCTGCCTCTCGCGGGTCGTCTCCGCATACTCCGACTCGCCACCATCCACAGATCGCTGGGGCTTCAGAGTAAAATAATCACCAATCACCTTAATATCCCCACGAACGCGTGAGGTATCTGTGATGGTAACCCACTCCCCATAATCTGGGTCGTCAATCAGCTCATCAGTTCTCAAGTCGAGTTCTGACATTCTCTGACCCGAAGACACGGGATCCTCCCCGCTCTCCAAATCCAGAACCTCGTCGCCGTGGGGTATTTCTGTCTCTACAGGCGCTTCTAAAACTGGTATGAGGCCAGATTTGATCTCCGAGGCCTTGGGGGGCGAAGAAGTCGCGCCCCAAAATGAAGCGGAGTCGTCGTATCGGAAAAATTCCATTCCCAGAGGCGTTTGAATGGGATATGTAGGGATTGGCCTCTTGCCAGCACTGTTTTCTTCATTTTTCACCGCTGTTTTGGTTGTGGCCTCTCCTTTGACACGCTCTACAGAAATCTCTGCAGTCCCTTTTGCTTTTATCAGTCCTTGGCCGCCTAGGCTCTGTGAAATTTGGACTAAGATCACTCCTCTTGCTCTGCTATGTTCCGGCAAATTTTCATGTTTATGAAATTCATCATAATGCTCCTGGAGATCTTCAGCAAGTGGAAATGTTTGACGGCAGCAGCTTATTCCATTCAACAACCTAGTCGGGAATTTCTCCAGAAACTTTGCTCTGTATTCGTTGTAGGAGACTGCTTCTTCGATGGAAAATCTACTCCGGATGGTTTCTTTTCTTTCTTCTGTTGCTCCACAATTGGGCACTTCTTCGGCATCTGGGTTTATCTTGTCGTCCTCCCTGGTGATTGGACACTGCTTGTTTCCATTGAGATGGGCGTTGGACGGAAGTTCTGCGTAAACCCAGGCGCCAAGAGCCTCATCACTGTCATGAGAGTCCCTACACTGGTAGATGTATCCCTCAAGGCTTCCTTCTATAGGGGAAGGTAGGTGATTCCTTAACCCTAAGTTCTGGTTCTCCAACTCTTCTCGATATCTCTCTTTCTCTGCTCTTTTTACGCTTGAATTCCCCTTCCGTTCTTGGGTAATGTCATTCCACTGGCGTACAAGTTCGCGAAGGCGTTCGTGAAGGCGTTCGAATCTAGCACTAAGCATACTAAAGGAGATATTATATCTGCAATGCTCGTCGAGTGTTTCCCACAGCGTATCCTCACCAATGAAAGTGTGGCGGCCACAGCAAGTACAGCTGGTATATCGAAAGCCCGGTAGTGTGGGGACCCAGGGGGAGATTTCGTTAAATTCATGGAACTCCTCAGAAACAAACGGGCCCAGACACATATTTGCATCCCTCTCATAGACACTCTTATACAATTCATGATTCCGAATTTGCTCCTGCGCTCCTACCTGATAATCTCGCAGAAATTGAGAGGTTTCGGAATGATCGCAGTTGGGGCGGGGTAAAGGGCTGAATGGAACAGCGTCCCCTCTGAGAACCTGGCAGCGATTGGTGACATCCTCGATATCAGGATTGTTCATGATAGATTCCTCTGGAGGCCAAAGCTCCGGATCCTGGTCCTGGGGTTGCCCCGAACATACTCCTGCGAGGGCCGGGTACGTAGTGTCAGGATCCGTTACGTAGAGATCATTAATCGCATCATATGGTGATGATGGCGGGACATAACTATAGAGAGTTTCTTCGCATGGTGCAGCCGGTTTCTTTGAGTAGAGTCCACTGGTAGTACCAGGGATAAGAGTAAATCCCGTGTCGCTGAGACACTCTCTATTTGAAGGGACCCCGGAGGGCGATACTCCGAAAGGAATCATGGCATGGGTAGGGTAATCGCATTCCGGGATTGAGTGATTGGACGAGTTATCCAGTATGGGAGGGGGATGGTCCATTTCCTGTGAGATTTCGGGCAAGTAATGGCAGAGGCCGTGTGAGGGCTGCGCGGTGAAGTCCTCTTTCGAAATATACTCAGCTGGAGGTGGAGGTGCTGCAGAAGGCACAAGTGGAGGCTGAGGTTGAGCGGATGTATGTGAGATCTGAAGGGCTATACCCAACCCTTCAAGGTCTTTCCCCAACGGATTGGCTATGGAAACTCCTGCGCTAGGTAAGGAAGTGGTGATTGAGCTCTCGGCATTAGCGACACTGTTGGCCTTTCCTGCGGCGGTTTGGAACGGCTCGGCGACGCAATTCCAAATTTCCGACGAGCTGACAATCATTGGATATATCTCCTGTTCTTCAGGGCATGATAATGCGTTTTCTGAATCCTCAACTTTGCTTTCCATTATCTCTGGATAGTCGATGGTGGTCATCTGCCTGGGGGATTCAAGGATTGGTTCTGCTCGTCCGTTTACCTTGTCATAATAGAGGCGTACCGCAGCTTGGGTAGCTTCCGAATACCTAGATTCGAGTCCATCCATGATGACAGGAGACGAGGCTTTTGCCATCCTCTCTGGCTCAGATATACGTTGTGATTAAAATGAAAGATTGGGGAGTAAATGAACGTTTTTAGGATTTTGAAAGAGTATGAAAGATGCTTGACAGGTATTAAATAAAGAGGATTGCTTTTGCGGATAGGACGTGTCTATGAATTCATGTCCTGTTACCCGTGGGGTAAGGAAGGTGATGACGGAAGTCTGACGAGGTGAACCAAGAATCCATACCTTGTGGTCAAAATTAAGTACAGCACTAACGATAGCTTCAGAAATGACCGAACACACAAAAGTAACGTTCAAATGCCCCAGAAATTTCTAAATTCGAATTGGGGCATAAAGTCATATCGCCTTGCCGGTAAAGTATCCGTTGCGGTAACCTCCAAGTGCCAAATTCTTCTTTGGGTCCAGTGATGAAGTCTTCTGGGGTTAGCCGACTATTTCAAGCCTTCCAAGCCTTCCGTGGGCTTGGGGCCGCCGCGTTCCCTACTAACTGCTTCTGCACCACTTCCCTTCCACGCGCTGATGATCAAGCCAACAATGTGGTCGACACCCACTCCTTTCTTCACTTGCGCAAAGACCGTTGGGCCTCCCTCCCTCATTTTCCGGGCATCTCTATCCATGACCGCTAAATCTGCTCCGACCGCTTCAGCCAAGTCGGTCTTGTTGACGACCAGCAAGTCGCTCTGCGTAATGCCGGGTCCTCCTTTTCGCGGGATCTTATCTCCGCCACTCACGTCGATCACGTAGATGATATAATCAGCTAGTTCTCTCGAATAATTAGCCGCAAGGTTATCACCTCCAGATTCAATCAGGAGAAGATCTGAAGTGAACTCTCGGTGCAGATCCTCAAGTGCTGCCAAGTTGGCCGAGATATCTTCTCGAACAGCGGCATGAGGACAACCACCAGTTTCAATAGCTCGGATGCGGTTCGCTGGAAGTGCTTTGTGCTTGGTAAGGAACTCTGCATCTTCACGGGTGAAGATATCGTTGGTTACTGCTGCGATGGAATACCGTTCTCGGAGAGCGTTGCAAAGCGCCAGCATCAGAGCAGTCTTGCCGGAGCCAACAGGTCTACCGAGCAGTTAGTATCCGCAGGAAGTATCCAGTTGATATTAGTATACTAAGACAGCAGTTCTTCGCACAAAAGCTAGAAATCAATGACTGAACGCTGCTGAGCTTCTTAGGTCCCGTCAGTTACCACATAGGATCGGTAGCTGACGTGTCTTCAGGATGCCCGCCAAGCCAATGTACTAAGGACTGGAATGAACGAGTCGAGTAAAAGAACTCGGGATCCAAATTCTGAAAAAAAGAGACAGAAATGCATACCCTCCAATCCCTACTGTGAAGGCTCTCTCAGACCAATTTCTCCCCTCGATGATGGGCATCTCGCGTCCCATGTAGCTCCCGGGCCCGTCGAGAATCTCATGGGTATGCCCATGGTTGACTGCGGAGCCAGCATGGTCGTGGGAGTGTGCATGCGCGCCATCGTGGGAATGTGAATGAGACATGGTTGAACAGGATTTCCAGTCTGTCCAAGGGGGAAGAAAGAAGAAAGAAGGTCGTCGAGATGGAAAAGCTTCAATCATTTAAAGGCGGCCACTTTTACGAGACGGAGGACCCCGCCTCATCACGTGCCGCGGGGCAGTCCGAGTCATGAGATACGGGGTACGAGATACGGAATACGAGATACGAGACACGAGACGCGAGGTCACGAGGATAATTTCCTCATCAACTCAAATCCATCGAGTGGTGGTTCTCTCCCCTTCCTTCTCGCATCAATGAGCATCACCTCCCTCAGATAAGTATCTTCTATTTGTATATAAGTTTGCGTATAAGTATACGCGCAACTGTTTTAGACTCCATCCATCTCCTCGTTCTTCGTTCCATTAACGTCTAAAGCTCCCTCGTCTGTTTCCGAGCCATCCAGCTCCAATGTCCCTCCGGGTCATTCAGTAGCTGCTTCATCGCTCTCTCATCGTCATTCGGCCCACTATTAACCATCCCTGCCTCAAGCGCCAGCTCCGCATGCCATTCCGCCATCATCTTATCTCCCACCGCATTATACGCCAACGCCGCGAATGTATGCCCAGTAGCTTTCGCGGCATGCAGATGTTCTTCCTCATAGAGTGAGATTAACATTTCGGCCTTGGTTGGCGTGCCAGTGGACCATGGTGACCAGTTTGCCAGTTCTGTTTGCAGTTCTATGATTTCTGCAATGCGGGTGTCTGATCTGGCCGTTTCGGTGGCGCTGCTGGAGCAAAGGGAACAGGTGCATTGGAATCCCCAGTAATTACTCAGACTCTTTTGACGCTCGGAACGTTGTCTTAGAATGTTATCGTCTGGGTATTGTTAGAGCTTGTCGCGCCTGGGCTCCATCTCCTACTTACATGGGATGGTGATCTCTTCGCCGGGTTCGATGGTTCGAGCTGCAATCGTGGAGTGGATGAGGGTTTTGGGATCGTAATAATACATTGCACTGTGAAGGCTTAGTCCACGCAATTCCACGAATCGGTGAAACCATGACTGCTTACTTTGGGCGGCAGTCATGATTCATTCTCTGTCGCGATTTTATCAGCCGGGGATCCGTCAAATGCCGCCCCTGAATCATAACTTACTGCTGTCTCCGGGTACATGAGAAAGTGTGGTTCGCCTTCAAAGTCTCCAGAGAAGGCATTCGTGTTCACTCTTTCCATGATTGGGTCTCCTTCGGAGCCTGCCATAGCACTCAGAAATAATTGTTGAGTGGGCTTGGGGAGATGGATGAATGCCGTGTGAAGGTATATATAGCCAAGTTTGAAATCAGGAACCAACGCATCGGAAAGATAAACTCCAACGGGAGTTGCAGCCACTATTCGGTCTCCACGGTAAAGAGTACGGGTTGCAAAGAGCCCCCTTCCGCGCCCCGGTATGACTTTTATCTCCCACGGAGGGTCGTCGAAGATATTGACTTTATCGTATAGGTCCTTTCTGGTGAATGCAGGGAGGGCTGCGACTCTTTCCGCGACCGAGGGAGTTGTAAAAAATGAAATTCCTCGCCCGTTGGCAAATACGTCGCTAGTATATACGCAATAAGTCAAGGTTGAGTTTTCCTTTGGGATGCACTTGGGCATCTCTGTCCAAGGGCTAGATGATTGAGATAAAGAGCCCATCTCAGGCGTGTCAGACTCCTGGCGGCCACGGCTCTCGGGATGATGACAGTCTTTCCATTCGGGTGAGAGACCAAGTAGGGCTTTATTTCCTGGTGTACTGCGGGAATTTGCATCAAATTCCTGGCCTAATGGATATTGACCAGCTTGTGCTATGCAAATTAAAGACAGTGATGCGGCGAAGAGCGCGAGGTGCATTTTGATACTTGGGGGAAAGATGGTTCGAGATAATTAAACAGAAGCAGAAACAGAAGAGGAAGAGGAAGAGGAAGAAAAAATACACATGAATGAGAAAGATCAAAAGAAGCAAGGCATCTTTTAAACTCTGTCCGGAGCTGCGACAGGTTTCATCCGATGTTGGAGATATTGGTTGTTTCATCATTGTCGAATAGTATCCACTTGAAACATCAACCCTGGTTACTGTAACAGACAACACCCGAGTCCTAACCTGGACGAAACCTGCTTCTATTCGGAAAGGTGGCAGGGCTGATTTATCAGTATTATTGGGTGAGGTCAGGTGCTAAGTACAGTAGGTGAGCAATGTGCCAGGGCTGCAGCCTGCAACTGCTATCACCAGATAAGATAATAAAAAGTTCAAGGATCACTGAGGAGCCTCCCCTCCCGTCGTTTATATCCCCGAGATCCACGATCGATCTATCGCACGCGACTAGTGGTACACCCACTCACCATCTTCCTGCAAAGTGTCCTCGGAATGATAAGCCTTGTCTCGAGCGTCCTACTGAATATCAGCAACCCTTATATTTTCAGTTGTGATTTCTACCGCTCATTGCCTACCTACCTCTGCTGGAAGGTCAGGGTCACGTAACTCACGTTTGAGGGCCCTCCTCGCGAGACAAGCTTTCACTCTTTCCGAGGTATCTGCATCAATACCCGCCCAAAGAATCCTACTCGTAGTGGTGAGCGCGTCTGATCCCTGGTCATTGGCTAGATCTTGCTCTTCTATAAGAAGGTCCGTGATCCTATCTATCTCCCACCCGAAAACCTCGAAGCTTTCTCTGGTCGCTGTGCGTTCTTTTTTATTATTGGCCCGGGATGAGCGTCCTTCATTGGTTTGGGCCGCTGCCTTGAATGATTGGAATACTTCGGAAAAGAAGATAGGTATCTTGACCATCATTGCGGAGCAGATGAGGCACACAATAAAGCAAATAATGCCCCTCGAGAGGTCATCTATGAGGTGTAGGGCTATAGCAATTAGCTCGTCGTGTTCAAGATGTATAAATAATATATTGTAGGAATACTAACAGGGAAATATCTCCGTCTGTGACATGATAATATTGCTGGTGAACGGCCCTTTTTTCTGAATTATTATGTTTGTTCGCTGTAGATATGGTGATGCATTTATTTATGTAGAAGATAGTTTGTATTTGCATCTTGATTCTGGATTGTGGGAAAGTCTAACGTGGAAGTGACTACTTAATTTCGGTCCCGCTCTTATATTGTCGAACTTACTCTTTCGAGCCGCATTTTACCTTCTCCTCTAGTGTCCTTTTTGTCTACCTTGTGTGTGTGTTCCTGGTACTTGTGACCAGGTGGTCCTAAGACCGAAGATAAAGGTAGTTGGGAAGTTCTGCACGGCTCTGAATAGCGAAGAGGCAGGCATGCCGCATTTGTACGTTGACATGTTACATTGACTTTAAGATCAGCAAGAGATTATAGATATTACAATACTTAAAACAGATAGGACCTTATACTTTGCAACTCTTGACTTCTTTATTTTAATGGGAGGAGTACTCTTCGCCTCTTAGTTTATTGGCGCAGAGGAGTTCTATACAGACGCTAGGTCAGCAAGTGAAACACCAGAGAGTTACTAAGATAGTTCTATACTGTATTATCAAGAGGAGACTTTGGTGCTAGAGGACACATGGTCCAGGAGTAGGTAACAAGGAGTGTAGGTAGGTGTTACAACTTAAACAAATGAGAGGTTATTGCTTCAGGTGGCTTGGATTCAGGGCTGAAGGAAAGATTTGGGAAGCGAAGAATACTCGAGATTCTATATACGGGGTTGTGGGCATCACTACGTGTTAACAGAGCGCAAGAGAACCTGTATAGCGGTGCTACCGCAGTCTTGGGGCACGTAGAATCATTCAGATCGAGTCTGTTCATATATTCCAATTTCCATCACGCAATTATTTAACAATGTACCCCAACAACCCCTCTTCCGTCCGCGCACCAACATTGTGGTGTTTGTTCTCCTCCCACACCTTCCCTCCCTCGCCAAAGTCATTGGCAAGATGACTGATAAAGAAGTCCGCCGCCACCTTGGCCTGCGGGAAGCTTTCGCTAAACGTCTTGGTCAGGTCGTCCACCGTCGGCTTCTTCGCCGCGTACGTGATCTTCTCCGCGAACAGGTCCAGGTACTTGCGCGTGTGCGCCAGGTCGGCCTTGGCGTCCAGTTCCCAGCCCGCACCGCGTGAGAGATGGCCCGGGATGACTTTCGTCGGGGAGAGGGACTCGATCAGGTCGAGCGTTTTCTGCCACGCGACCAGGAGATGGGCCGTTTCAACCTCGTCGCACCTGTCCCGTCAGTTGGTGATTTGAGATGATCGCGTGGTGAATACTGACCATACGTGAGTACTCCTGGCATATACGGCATCGCCGCAGATGATTGTTTTTTCGCGAGGGAGCCAAAAGAGCGTATGATCCACGGTGTCTCCTTGCACTGGCCCCAATAGCATGATGGGAGACTCGGGATTGCCGTCGATGACGAAGAATGAAAAAGGATAGGGTTCTGGTTTGCGGGGCCTCTCGACCATTTTGCCGGGCAGCATCTCGTTCCAGTATACGACCTTGTCGTCATATTCTCGGTCAATACCTGCGCGAACGTACGGTGCAGCATAAAGTTTTGCAGCGGGAAAAGCGTCTAGGATGATGTCGGCGGAGTAGAAGTGGTCTGGGTGGTGGTGAGTGACGAAGATGGCCTTGAGCGGCAGCGTAGTGGTTTCTTTGATCCATTTGACAACAGACTTTCCATCCGCAATCAAATGGGGAGGATCGATCAGAACCGCGTTTTTACTGCCGACGATCAATGTAGTGATGCTCGACAACCCTTCATCACTCGCGCTGTGGATGAAGGTCTGAAGCGGAGCATTCTGATCTTTTGAGCCCATGATGGCTACGTTGAAGCAATTGAAGCAGTTGAAGTCTTAGTTCTAGGAGAAAGACAAAGTCTTCAGACACCCTCGACTGAAACCAAATACAAATACTTCCCCGCGCGTCTCCAATTCAAGATCAACTTTCATTGCTTACGTTACTGCCGGTGGGCCAAAAGTCGTAGTCAGCTTCCGAGTGGGATGGCAAAGCCCACCGGCAGAGCTTGTCGGTATTGAAAAGCGGCTGGTAGAGTCGAATAAATGAACAAGAAGTAACTTGGATGCATTTACTGGCCGAAATTGTTTGAACATAAGCTGAGAGCCTGAGATGTAACCTGGTACCAGGACCCGGTCGTCTACAGAGTAGTGTCCGGACTCCTTGCGATCAGATTGCCGAGTCATCGCGAGTCTAACTGGCTGCAGAGACGCCAGACACTCGACATCAAGAACAAGAAGTCTGGACCTTCGCCGCCTTTTCCAAGGGCCACCATGAAGACCGGGATATCTGCCTATCCGGAAAACCTGTACAACATCTTCAAGGTACCTTACCTGAATATAGGTACCTGAGGCACTGTGTATAATGTTACAAAACCGGATGAGATCGGTTCAAGACGGCGGGGGAGGAAGTCTGGCTAGACTCCATACCTGGCTGCCAACCCCGCCCCCGCTCCCGCTCCCGCTCCCAGGAAAGCGTTCATTGGCCCATACACTAGCTCCCACCCCGCCCTCCGGAAAACCCCCCACTAGCCCACACACCCTAGCAAAGTACCCCGCTCGGGGGGGATCAGCCTTTGTTTAATGTTTTTCTTGAGGAGGGGTGACGCTCACATGACTTAGTTGCCGTGCCATGCAACAACGTCAAAGGGAGAGTGCCGTTGCTTGCTGTAGTAAAATCTGCCGCCCGCCCAGCTTATAGATAGAGCGCCATCCGACCCCCGTCTGGATCTCATATTTGGCCACCGGGTGGAGGAAATCGCGGGGGTTGGCCAAGCCGTTGGCACCGAGAGGGCCGTCTGGAAGGTTGACCTTATAGCGCTGGCCACGCTGGATGACGGCAATCTCACCAGGCTGGACGAACAGCATGCCGAATTCGGTCTGGATGTCTAGAGCACCCTGCTGCGGCACAATCAGGAAGTCCCCATCGCTGTTGGTGAAGGTCTGGTTGGTCATGTCGGCATTGCAGGCGTAGACGTGTGTGGCGATACCCTCGCGGAGGGTTGGGTTGTCTTCAGAGCCTCTAGGAAAGTGACTTTCTCGTCCGCGCTTGGATGGTCAACTGGGCGCCATACCAGCTGTGTGGGAGAGAGGTAGGTCTTGGGGTTGATGGAAAGGAAGCAGGACTCGATGTCCAGGTTGTCGAGCAGCTTGGTGAAGCCTTGATGGGCAACAGCGTGGCAAACCCGGTAGAGCCACGACTTCTTGTTCTTGTAGCGATGGGCGAACTCGAAGTGGTTGCTAAAGCCAGGTTGGTACTAATATACTACCCATTCAGTTGGGTGAGTAAGTATGTTTAGGCGTGGTCGGAGTAAGGCAGAGCATACCTTGTAAGGGTCGTTCTTCCTGACAGCAAAGGAAGGGATGGTGTCATCCTGTAAGATACTTAGATAGCTATTAGCCTGAAGAAAAAAGCAGCAATGAATATAAGATACATAGGTACTTAAAGTACCTTTGAGTGCATCTGCCAAGCCCCGACGGAAAACATAACTTTTCATCGTCATACCTTAGTCATTGTCTCATGCTTCTCGACAGTGTTCCTTCTTGTGAATAGTCTCTGCTTCGCCCAAAGGGGTCTTGACTCGCTTCCCCCTTTTAACGAGTGAACAAGCTCTGCTAGTCGACCGGTCGCCCGTGTCAGTGTAGAACAGCATTATAGTAATATTAGTAGATAGCTACATCAAGTCGCGATCGTTCCTCAGTAAGAAAAGACAAGACCTATCACGGGCCCAATGATAACAGACCAGAATTACCTAGTAGGAGATGATCCGGTCCGCAAACTGGCTTGGGTTTAGACGTACCTATCGTCCAGATAGAACTTCTCCTTTCCTTCGCTGTTAATGTACTTAACTTTAATCACAAGAAAGCATATAGTACAAGCTAGGTAGCATTAAGGTAAAATTGGCATACCTTAATAACCTCGTCTCTGTCGTTCGTTCTCGTCCACAAAGACGCCATTAACCCGCCATCTTGAAATCTTTCTCGCTAGTATTGATCGACAGACAGACTTTCTCCCCTCCCGCCACCCCTTCTTCCGCTTCTTCGCTATATATATAATTCTCATGAAACACAGTACAGAAACGGCAAGCAGCATCCTCTCCTTGTCACAATCCTGTTTGAGAATAGCTACATATACGTCAATGGCCCAGGTTGACGATGATGATTGACTAAACTAAAGGAGGAAGTGAGCGAGGTTCGCAAAGATGAATGAATGAGTGGAGAGTCAAATTGCAGAGTTGTGCAGATGTCAAGGGCTTTTAGAAAAAGCTAGTAAATCTATCTCGAAAGTTTCCATGGAGGGTATGACCAATGTCCAGGGTAGGTAATCTGGCTGATGAAAGAAGAAGGGCGTAGTTCTTGATGCGAAAATTCGATACACCAAGCAAAGTCAACGATTATAGTAATGTAAGGCGAATAGATGTAAACAAGTAAACTACTAAGCCCTACAAAGAGGATTTTGGCATCATAGGGCTTGAGATTCTCCTGATAAAGAGGGGGATGTGGTGTAAGACAAGGAATCTTCTAGGATCGTAAAACTATGATCTTTTGGTCTTATAGTGAGCGTAGTGTTAGAACTTACCTAACACGCTGTGTAATAGAATATAGAGGATAGTTAAGATGGAGAGACTAATTAAGAGTGCAAAGCAGAAGCAAAGCTCGAACGGTGAGGAAGAGGACAAGAAACAGGGAAGAAAGTTCAAGAAGTCGACGGTTGTGACTGAATAACGGATGTTCTATAAGGCAGGTTTCTAGCCTCAGTTCTGTTAATATTAATCCTAGCCTCAGCAGCAGTATATACGACAATTCAACTAAACATTGCAGAGATAAAATCCGAACTCAAGATCTCCTCATACTTTCTCTGCAGCCTTCTGCAAAGTACCGGCACCAATAAATAGTAGTTTTCTAGCATAGCTCCTCAGAAGCGCTTTCACGCCTGCAGCAGTTTGGCCACGCCGTTGTAGATTCACAGCGCCAGCGATGGCCGCAAAGTATACCAGGTACCTGAGGAAGGTCTTGGTTCTCTTCTTCCTCAGTCCTTTGCGAGTATACGAGATGTTCCAATCACTCCATGTAGGGAACATGCAGCGGAGACCAAACCAGATTTGGGTATATCTGAAAAGAAAACATGATTAGTACCGTGGCCATTCCATCAACGCAGGGAACTTACGGGTATACGGTAGAGTTCCAACCCTCTTCGGTCTTATACCAGCTACCGCATCCACCAGTACTCCAAACCCGCTTCTTGAGCGCAGTTTGGGTGTCCCGTGCCCACTCAATCTCTGCCTCCTTTTTAATCTCGGTCAGCTCAACATCTCCTTGGAGAATAGGCTTGATGAACTTCAGGCTTAGGTTTATCATGTTCTCCGAGGCGAGAATCACGGATGAATGACCTGTGGCGGTATTGGGACCAAATATGGTGAAGAAGTTGGGAAATCCATCCATGGCCATGCCCATGTACATCTGGGGACCTCCACGCTCGTCAAAGACATCGTGCAGCTTCTGACCGTCTCGGCCAGTGATATCAAGCGGATGGAGCCACCCAGTGGTTTCGAACCCATTCGCTAAGATTATTACGTCGGCGGGTATGGTCACTTCGTTGGTAGGGACGGTGCTGGTGCTTTCCTTAATGTCAGGATATGTGCGGCCAGGACCGAGGGTTACGGTATGTTCTCCTATACTTGTGAGAGGGAGCGTGGTAAGTTCGATATTAGAATCGTTGAGACCGGGGAACCAGCTGGCGTCAAAAATTCTCCTCTTGCATCCGACGCCATAGTTCGGCGTCAAGATCTCGTGGTACTTCTTGGGGACTGTTTTTCGCATATGTTGTAGAAGCTCATCTTCATACTTCTTGCGTTCCTTCTTGTGGTACTCGTCGGATCCGAACAATCGCCAGTCGTATTCTGCCACCAAGAACACAGATGTGCGGATGGCTAAATTGAAACCAGGGATGTTCTTGTTGAGCCATGGGACCCACTTCCCCCAAGCCTCTTCCCCAAGTGGGGGCTCTATTCGGGGAACCACCCAAGGAGGTGATCGCATAAGTTGAGTTACGGACTTAGCGCCGTATTCTTTAGTCAATCGAGGGACAAATTGGGCAGCAGAACATCCAGTCCCCACGACTATAACGTCCTTGCCCTTCAAGTCTACATCGTATCTCCACCTGGCAGAGTGGAATATTTGACCGGCAAATTTCTCCTTCCCTGGGATGTTCTCAGGCCACACCTTTGGCTCCACCAATCCGCCGACGGCGCTCACAACGATTTTTGCCCTCACGACTTCTTCGTACACATAGACGGATTCCGCGCCTTGCTCCTTGATCTTTTGAGCCCTGTCGTGTTCGCTGAGATCTCCAGCGCCAGATACCAAATGTTGTAAAGTCACCTCCCAAACCTTCTCTGATTCGATCCAACGGCATCCTCTGACATCGGTGTTGAGTTGTATCTTGTCGACTATTTCGTACTGATCACAGACATCTTGCAGATATCTGACGATTTCTGGACCCTCGGGGTGAAAGGTGCTCCACTTTGGATTCCGGCAGAAGGAGAAGCTGTAGAAGACAGCCGGCCTGTGATTTGCATGGGTTAGGATGAGTTCTAATTGGTGAGTGCAGAACCAAGGTCATGATTTAGATAAATCTCTCAATCTTTGATGTGCATTCAATGAAGGCTTTGGGTTTTGTAGAGGGAATAAATGAGTTGGATCAAAACGCTTACACATCACAAGCAACCCCTGGATACCGATTAATCCACCATGTGCCTCCAATGCCTGACTGTCTTTCGAAGATGCGAAATTGGTCAAAACCTAGAACCTCTTTCAAACGACAGCCCATAGCAATACCGGACTCGCCGGCACCAATGATCAAAACCGGATAGTAGGAAAAGCTGTCGGCATCATAGCCGTTGTTCTTGCGGATCGTCGTGCCGTACACCGGCCGTTCACCTAGGAACGGAGACATTCTGGGGTATTAGTTGGAGTTGTTTTGGATGGAAACGAGTAGAGTTGAAAGCGAAAGCAAAGCTGAGTATGATGAATGTCTTGCTGGCATCTAGCTGCGGGAGCCAGGCCTGGCTTTAACCGTGATAGATGTTGCGTTGCCCCGGAGGACTGCCTTCGATCTGGCGGGTTGCAGCGAATGAGCATCTTGGAATAGCCATCCATCTATGGGGGAAGGCCGAGATACGAGGGTATTCAACAAACACGTGGCTCCGGATTTGTATGTGACCGAGACCCCGCTTCCCCAGCCCGGGGAAATGTGTGGGGGAGGTACATGTGACCTGCCGCTTTGGAGGCCTTGTCTCTAAGGTATGAACTTCAGCCACACCTACGAGCCACCTAGGTTAGAGTTAGTGTTGTACCTGAGGTACCTTGCCTTACCTCGCGGGCAGGGTCTCGAAAACTCTCTGGAGTATATACCTTCCTATACTTTATTGCAATCTTCCTCATTCCCCTCGCTCCTCAGCCCTCAGCCTCCTCATTAGGCCGTTATGCGACGCAAAGCGGTTACTTGTCTCACGAAACGCTCAACTCGACGCTTCTGCTCCTCCCCCGCTCATTTCCGGTCGCTCTCCCAAGTTGAAACAATTCCTGGCCCAATTGACACCATAGACATCAACGAGTTCCGCAAGAAAGCCTTCACTCCCGAGACCCCTTTACTCATAAAGAGAGAAAGCTCTGGCGGATTCCCGGCCGCCTTATCACCGAGCTCCTCAATTCCCGCCGCAGTCAAATGGTTTACGTTCGAAGACTTTGACAATGCCAACGAATCATCCAATCCGCAGCAGACTCTCGTTCCTTCGCAGTATCTACACACCTTTCAAGATACGATTCTACCATACGAGTTGACCTATGACTTAGCCGAAGATCCCACGAAGCCTCATGGGCAGGCTGGCGGAAGCAAAGATCTCAAAGGAATGCTCTCTCAATTACTCCAAAACCCGTCTGCCGGATCATTCCACAGATTCAATGCTCCTCTATCCCTCTTTTTACAAGCTTGCAGAACCAACGCTGGCGCCTCGCCGTTACTTCGATTATACATAGCGCAAGCACAGATCACGGATCTACCAAAACAACTACAAGAGGATTTGCCAACTCCAAGATTGGTAAGGGAGGCTGGAAAAGGAGATATATATGATGCCAATATCTGGATTGGCATCCCACCGACCTACACTCCTTTACACCGAGATCCAAATCCTAATCTATTTGTGCAACTGGCAAGTAGCAAACAAGTACGGCTATATAGACCCTCTGTAGGGGCGGGCATATTCCGGCATGTTCAACGGTCAATTGGGCAATCGGGTCAGACTAACCTGAGAGGGGAGGAAATGATGGAAGGCCCTGAGCGCGATGCCCTCGACGAGGCTGTATGGGGTGATTCGGCAATACAAGATGGCTTCGAAGCAATAGTAAATCCTGACGAGGCTTTGTTCATCCCCAAAGGATGGTGGCATAGCATAAAAAGTATCGGGACGGATGTCACTGCATCAGTGAATTGGTGGTTCAGGTGAGGACATGGATTCTTTGTACAGAAGATAAGTATGCATTGATTGATACCCTTGTCATTTGTTGTGAACCATCCAGATCTCTCTACTCCGTAGAGAAGCAAGTAGATAGTTCCTCTGGGTTGGAATGTTTTTAAGCTAGCCTACCTGCCTGAAGTGTGTTCATGTATGTTCAAAGACTGAGGTGTGACATGCGTGCCCTATATATCCACTCAATGCTTTCGTCCGGGACTGCCACTTCTTAGAAATAGCGAATTGATGTATGTAAGGTAAGGTACGTCCCGTCTTCCATTCACTTGGAGGGGTTAAATACTTATGCCTCAGGCACACAAACGTAAACAAATGCCCCTCGCTAGCTGACCTATCAGCGTCTATATTCTCCCACCTTTACTCTGGACACGCCCAGTCACTCTACACACGCCCCAGCACTCTGTACATGCCACATTACTCTGTGCACGCCCCCAAGATGCTGCGTCTACGCCGGCGAAAGAGCGCTGTGCTGAGGAAACTGGCGACTCGCAAGGCTTCAACAGAAAGCATCAACGGTATCAAATCTCCGAACCCCTTCGACGATAGCAAGTCTCCGAGTCTCTCTACCGACCTCCCACAACCTCAATACCCACCGCCTCCTACGCGTCCACCACCGCCTCCTCCAGTGCCTTCATCTCCGTCTCCTGGCAGTACCCAGCCGCCGCCCCGTTCAGCTTTTTTCGACCTCACAGTCTACATTCGCACAATCGCGGTTAAGGTAGCAAAACATACCCCTCGGAAAATCCGTCAGTCTAACGAAGACATCGAGCGCGAGATCGAACGCTGCCTATCCCTCCTCAAAGACCGCCGCGAGATCCAGCAATACTGGTTTTCCGACTGGAGCGGCGTCCAACTCGCAGCTGAACCGTCAAGGCTACATCTCCCCGGGTGTGCCCGCGAGCACTGCGTTTGCAGATCAGTTGCAGCCAAGGGCTACTTTGCGCGTTGGCCTTGCGCCGTACCCTGCTCGCGATCTCCGCTGATCTATCCACAACTACGAGAACCCCAGGCCAAGCACGATAGTCTAGTCCGGTCCAGATCGGTCGCCAGGGACCGTCTAGACGCCTATAAGGAGTATCACCAGGAAGTCGATAGGGACGAGCGTTTCCCCCGCCATCGCGTTGGTGTCAGCGATCCAATCGTTCTCTTTTCTTTGGGCTACCGTGATTACATTAAGAGAATGTCTTCCTCGTCTGGAACTCCGGAGTCCTGGATCTCCTCTTTCTGCTCCTTGCTCGGGCATGAATATTTTGCCGAGATCTCGGAGGATTTCATAGAAGATGATTTCAATTTGACGGGCCTGCAGAGCCAGGTAGCTATGTATAAGGAGGCACTTGAGGTAAATTCTAATCCCCGTGTGGGTCATTCGTGTTGCTAATGAGATCCTTCTAGATGATCTTGGATGTTGAACCAGAAGATGATGACGACGAAGACGAAGACGAAGAGGAAGACGAAGGTGATGAATCCATCGAGGGTCAAGAACGCTTAATCCGCAACAGAGCAGCCACGGAGCGAAGACATCACCGCATGGCGTCTGATCTGTCAATCATAGAATCTTCTGCCGAGATGCTCTATGGCCTCATTCACCAACGCTTCATCTGCTCTCGTGCCGGTATCCAGCAAATGTCCGAGAAGTACGAACTAGCTCATTTCGGTGTCTGTCCGCGAACTTTCTGTGATCAGGTCCGCACATTACCAGTCGGATTATCCGATGTCCCAGGCGAAGACACCGTCAAGTTGTTCTGTCCGTCTTGTCTGGATGTCTACGTTCCTCCCAACTCCCGTTTCCAAACCGTTGATGGTGCTTTCTTCGGCCGAACGTTTGGTGCCCTCTTCCTTCTCACCTTCCCTGACTATGATATCAGCAAGAAGGGCGTTGAGACCCTGGCTGGTGCCCACGGTCCTCGGTCTCTACCCCCTCACCTGCAAGATGGGGAGGAGAAGGAGAAGATCAACGGCATGAATGCGCACAACTTAGCTCCCGGTCTTGGCAAAGGAAAGGTCTATGAACCCAAGATCTACGGCTTCAAAGTCTCCGAGCGGGCGAGAAGCGGGCCGAGGATGTCATGGTTAAGACAGCGGCCTGACAACATCCAGGACTTGGATGAAGCTGCCATCTATGCTGCCGAGCACGGCGAGGATAGTGATGAAGATTCCGGACCCAACGGCGCTCCCACCCGACGCAGACAAGCCACCCCCTCTCGATCACGCGTCAGCGGCGGCAGCCCCATGTCTGTAGATGCGAATGGCAACGGCAATACGTATGCCTGAATGTCTCATAGCGAAATCACATTGCAGGCGTTCCCAGGGGGGCATGACTTTTTACGACAGAGGGGATGAATTAGAGATGTGATTTCCGTGTGTTTTAACTGAAAGCAAAACTGCATATTGCGGCGGGGGAAGGTAGTCAATCAGCTGGATCAATCAGATAAGGACAAGATGGGATGATGGGAAAACAAGAAAGATTATCTAGTTTAGGTACTCGAGGGGTACGCTATTCTAGCCATCTTACCAAAATTCAAATTCAATCACTTGCATACCACCAGCATCACGATATGGCACAAGTGGTTGTTCTCTCCAGTTGATAAGGGGTTTGAAGAAGAAGTTGAGATAGGTAGGGGTGGGTGACGTGGAGTGGTTTGGTAGCTGGATATAGGTTATCTAAGGTCCTCTACGCTTTTCTGGTATAGTTTTCGAAAACTCCTCTATCCAGATTCTCACACAAAAAGTCGTTGTAGCGTAAGGGTTTGCTTGAAGTACCTTAGGTAGCGAAAGAAAGAAAAGCGACTTTTTGATCTAGGGGTGCATATCTCAAGTACTGCAGCAGCTTCAGCTACCTAGATAAGGTACCAGAAGAAGATGTGAGGAATATTTGTGTGTGTGTTCATGTAAAACGAATATAACTCTATGCGCTCCGCGATCAATCACAACCCCTAAAAAAGCACGCCTTTCGAAAAAGCAAACAAACCTCCAATCTCCGCGCCCATCATCCCTCATTCATTCATTACGCCCTCCCTCATTCAATCCCGCACCTCTTCTTCCCCAGCCCACCACCCCTCTACTTCGCCTCCAGCGCCGCTTGCCTCGCAGCCTTCATCTCCTTGATCTTCTTGAACAAGCTCAAATCCAACAACACCCTCTCGCCCATCCACGTCGCTCTCTGCGTATGATCGCGCTCCTCCTCTTCATGCTCGCCCGTCACCGGATCCACCGTGTTCGGATGCACAAGCACGCTGAGCGGACCCCGGTGGATCACGAGCCAGGGGATAAAAGCTCCGAATTGGGCGGGCGTGAACAGGTTCACTTCGAACATGGCGATTGGGTGCGGCCCTACGGGCTCTTCCCAGAATTTGTAGATGCGGAGTTCGGGGACTGCGGGGGGTGTTAGGAGGAAGTGGGGGGGGATTTGCAAAAAGGGGGGGGGGGAAGATGGGAGACTTACATTCTCTCCGGATTCTTTCCCATAGCTCGCGTGCGAATTGCAGCTGTGTGGGGTTTTTCTGGAAATAATAGATGTGGATATCACTATGTGTTCTGAGATCAGCCTCCTCCTCCTCCATCTCTTTAGATTCATTTCTAATGCAATCCAATTGGTCTTTTCTTTTCTTTTCCCTCCTGTCTGTCTGTCTGCCTACCAGGAAATCCTCCTCTAGAAACAATAAAAAGAAAAGGAAAGGGTGTAGAAAGAGAAGGTGAAAAAAAGAAAACTCACAATGCACCCCGCCGTCCATTATCCAGCGGGTCTATAAAGCGCTCGTAGGCCGGGCTCAGCACGCCCGTCTGGGGGTTGACATAGGATTTCCCGTCCTCGGCTTTCTCGTCGGGCAGCGGTGGCAGGTTCTCGTACCCTTCTAGAGGGGAGGGATATGTATATGCGGATGGATCCATGTTCTCTCTTTGCTTTTTGCAGAGCCGATCTGATCCGATTCGATCAGGAAGTGCAATTCGCTGGGTGATAATAAAGAGACGCTTTCGTTTCGGGATGTTCGAAGTACAGGAATTGAGTGGGACGGCTCCTAGAGGTGCGTGGTAGAAGGAATCGTGGCAAGGCTGGAGGGCAGTACGGTTCTTGGTGTTTTGTTATATAGGTAGGTAGATGAGGCCAACGATGAGGTCAGAGACGATGATGTCGCGCGGGGCCTCGTGGCGAGGCTGAGAGCTGGATATTTATACGACTTCCAAACCTGGAATCCCAGGCGCCAAAGGCGGGGTGCTGGATGGCGCGATGATTGTGATTGTGTAAGCTTTCAAGTAAGCTTTCCGGGGTGTTTTGAAATCACTGGTGAAATGACATTATTGGTCCCTGGAATTATATACGCTACACATCTTTCGGCCTTGGGACATGATGTCTGTTGGAGTACTATCAATCTGGGTTTTCCATGTCAAATTCTGTTATGGCGGACTTAGAGAAAGAAATGGCTTCTTCCTTGGCTCGCTGTGCCTCTTTCTTCACCTGCTTTTGACGTCTAATCCTTTTCACGCCTCCTGATCTCTCCATAATCAGATCCTGTGTAGCATCAGGCTTCTTGTTTATTACCAGTTCCCTCTTCCAACCTAACCTAGCCTTGAAGTCGGCTTATGCGAGATCCTGGTTCGACAGTCAAAGCACCCTACATACTGCAATTCGCCCTTTCTCATGTTTTGAAGAGTCGATAGCTTGGTTTGAAAGGCCTCACGTTAGGATACCATCGAGCGTAAGCACATCACAAGGAGCTAAAAGTCACCGTCCAAGATTCCTGGTCGGGCACAAGCAGGAGCAGAAATCAGGGACCTATGGCCTCTGCTTGGCCAGAAGTACGGAGAACACAAGAATAAACATGAGTATGGGATTGTCTCTTATCAAAAAGACGCAAAGGTCTTCATTGCCGAAGCTGCGACCCTGCAACACGAGTAAGATGACTCTTGGCAGAGTACTTGGGCTCGATCTAGGCATTCTTTTTGACTCTGAGTGACCATGGGAGAGAGGATCGCCAAAGCTTCGAAAGTGCCACTCTGGGGACAAGATGGGATGGATTGTTTCCATAAAGAGCGGTCCACTGATGGACAGTGTCACGACGGGAGGGAGAGTGAAAAGGAAATAGAAGCCTAGAAAAGAGATCAGAGATAGATACCAAAACCTATTAGAGCTGCGTGAGCTCCGTGAAGACTTCATAGAGTTGTTAGATTGGGAACGCAGATTGAAGGACGAGAAAAAATTGTGTCGCGAGATTTCGGTTTTGATCCTCGATAGCTCCCAAAGTACGCTAAACCTAATTCATATTAGGTCCAGCCTGTGGCATAATTACAGCTATTCAGGGGGAATAAATACAGCACTATTATTGATAATATTACTGTAATCACATCTTCATATCAACGAGTTCTGAACAATGTCTTGACAACACCACGACATTGTCAAATCCATACAGCAGCGCTCGGCTCTACGCGTCTGGAGGACCCGGAATATCAAGACGGCACGATGAGCCCTACGAAGTATCCGCCAGTCAGCTGCTTAAACTATCTGCTGGAGAAGGGGTAAGCTTCTCTAGTAATGCAAGGCCGTGGCGGAGGCTGCATACTATTCGATACAAGTCTGACGAAGCTCACCCAGCCCCAGAATCATGGATGAGCGGTCAAGCAACAAAAGGCGAAGCCAACGTTACCTCGAGATGTCCAATGCATCTCTCTCTCGCGTTGTCCAATAACATCAGTGAAGGGCCCGGAGAGATCTTCCTACTGAAGGCCAGATCTCTAAGGCTCTTTCTAGGTAGGCTGCAGGCGTTTTCCCAAGGCAGCTTTTCCCGCACGCAATGCGCTTCTGTTTCCGCAGCAAGGAACCCAATAGAGAGTTCGAACAGCATGAGCGTGCTCGGGATGGTGGTGCTCGTACGGGGTCCAATCAGAATGAGTTCAAGCAGATACTATGGAGCAGGGGAGACACGGGTAAGGAGAAACTCTCACATTCGCACACTTCCGCACTATCACAATCATTTCCCCGCCAGGACGCTTCTGGGCCTGGTCAGGACTTAGGGGGGCGAGATTGGCCAACCGATGGGCAGCAAGACGGAGGATTCGAGTGGTCCATCCCGCGCAGATCTCCAGGAGGATGTTGGAGTACCATCCACTGGGTTGCCGCCAATCCACCCACTTCTTGCAGCGTATCAAAAGTCAGCGTCTAATAAGGTTGGGCCGCAGACTGAGCGACCGCTTTCAGGGGGGCTCACAGGGCTGAGGAACCGGCCTGTGCTACCGCGCTCCCTGCATGGTGTTGCTGCGGTTGATACTCGCATGCCTGCGCCAACCTGCTTGGCCATGATAAGGCTTACGCCATGAGTCCGGTCTTCATCTCTAATGCTTTGCATTGTTTCGGGAGCACCGAAACAAGGCAGTCGACTTAGTCTACCGAGAGATATGATCCCCAGTGTCAAAAGCCACCCCGCATCGTACGACTCAACCGGTCAACTTACTTCTGATCTGGAGAATGAGCCACACAAGATATGAAAAGACGCCTCTGTCTCCTGTCTCTTCCGTCTCGCCTTCGTCTTCAATCTGGGTTTCTCTATTTATTCTCAAGTAATCCTCGCTTCCTTCTGCCCCGGGCCTTTCTGTGCTTCACCAATTTCGTTGTGCTACGCTCTTCTGCTCAGGCTCTTTAGCCATGCCTAAAAAGTCAAGTCCATATTTTCCTATCTTGATGCCGGCAAACCTAGCCGCATCTCATACAAATACATTCGGCGGAGAGGGGACTAGAGCGTATAAGAGACCACGAACGAGTCGACCCAAAGGTAAGAATGCTCTGGCTTCTTCGCTATCGAATACTGAATTAGGATTGAAAAAGTTAGGTCGGGATGTATTACTTGCAAAGTATGCCCTGTCTTCCATTCGTTGCGTGCTGTGCTCGACGCTGACGAATGCAATGTAAAGATTCGACGAGTAAAATGTGGTGAGGAGAAGCCATATTGTCTTCGGTGCCAAAAGTTTGGACGAACTTGCGATGGCTACGCGGCCCTTCCGTCAAGACGAGGGCCTGTGGTAGCCCCAATACAACCTCGAACTCCATCCCTAAGCTTATACAGCCCGAGTAGTTCTATCCATGGCACAGAAGACGAAAGCCGGTACTTCCAAGCTTTCGTTGAATTTTCAGCACGCGAGTTACCTGGCTACTTTGATGCCGACTTCTGGAGCAGAGTTGTCTTGCAGGAGAGTCATGCTGTTGCCTCTATACGCCACGCGGTCATTGCTATTGGAGCGCTCAACAGGGGCTTAGAAAAGGCGTCAAGGTCTCTAATAAAAGCCAACGTTATACAAGATATTGACAAGAGGCACCATGAGCACGCAGTTCTCCATCACCTCAAGGCTGTTCAATCTCTGAACCGGTATCTTTCGATGTCTCGCCCGCCGCAACTGAGGGTCGCACTTATAAGTTGCCTCCTTTTCATCTGTTTCGAGACCCTCCTTGGAAGTTACGCGTCTGGTATCCAACAGACATACGGTGGACTTAAAATCTTACGAAGTTACTTCGCTGGAAGGCCTGGCTCAAAACCTCGGATACCTCAACGAAACCTACCTCAACGATTCCTACCAGATGCTAAATCCAGATCAGGGCAGGTCAGCAAAGCTCTGCAGACTAGGCAGGGCTGCGACAATATATATAAGGCAAGAGTTATCGCTTTGCATGTCGAACAATATCTTGAAGTCGAGAATAATCCGCGCCTGGATGGAGAAAAGAGAGGAGCAGACTGTGTAGAACAAGTCGCTGTTCCTCTTGCCGCTTTGACAGGAACTGACTATAGCAAGGAGCAGCAGCAAATGATGATGTCGGCTCCTACTAATGATCATACACTTGAGTCCTCCAGTGCATCAGCAGACCAATTCGTGCAGACCGCTGCAGAGAATTCTATTGTTGGAAATACTACCTTCGGAATACCAGCCGCTGTTCGAAAATCATCGTCCATCTTGTCAAAGTCCACAGTTTCGACACCCGGGGCCCACTCATTCCCGGAATCACCAAGGCACCCCTCGTCCATATCCCCATCCCAAGCGCCATTTGCTAGTATTAAACGTCCACTGGAATCGATTCCGGTACCTCCCATCCTCCATCACGATTTAGATCTAGAAGAAAGCCTCATCCAGACACTTGTCAGACTCGAAGGCAACAGTATATTCTTTGGAATGCCTCCCGGGATACCCCCCTTGGTCTGGGATGTCCACAGAGTTTACCATCTCCCCATACCTTCCTCGTTTCCGGACTTCTCCTCGGCGCAGCGTAGTTGGGATTTTCTCATGGATCGAGCTTTGAAATTCTACAGGCGTACATTTTTCAACAAGACATACGCGCCTACCAGGAGTGACCCACCAGCCAAAATCGCAAGCCAATTCGCATCCTTTATGCGACAACTCTCGGCATTCGAGAAGGCCTTTCGTCCTTTTCTTAGCAAAGCCATCGAGGCGGACGGCACAATTTGCAATCCCGCGGCTCTTGTCATATCACTGTATCAAAAATGCACTCTGATTACTCTCGCTACCGTATGCAATGCCTCCGAGATGGTTTACGATTCCTTCTTCTCAGAATTCCAATACATAACGCGCACATGCTCTCGTCTGGCAAGATCCCAACGCAACTCAGGGATTCCAAAGGACGCTAGGTTTACTTTCGAGGTCGGGCTGGTCCCCCCTTTACACGTAACGGCAACAAAATGTCGTGATCCAACGATCCGACGCGAAGCTATTGAATTGCTCCTTGCGACTCCGCGGCAGGAAGGGATGTGGGATGGCGTCTTGAGCGGCATGATCGGGGAGTGGATCGCTTCATGCGAAGAAGAGGGGCTTTCTCCTCCGCCTCTTGGCTCATCACAACAACCAAGCGTGCACGTTCCACCTAGGGAGTATGAAGCAGCAGACGACAAGGGATTCAGCTCCCCGGGGGGCTCACATCTTGGCGACGAGATCAAAATTTCAGGGGGGTGGGAGAATGGGAAAAGGATGTCCAAGCTGGTAATTGACGCTGTCGGAGGGGACTTCACGGAATATGCATCTGATGAACCTGATTGTACTGTGGAAGGATCAGGGATAATCCCAAGTCAAGCAGAGGGAAGAAGAGAAAGACCAGTCTTGAGGAGTGGTTGGACGGTACCTGAGAAGAACCGAGTCCAGTTAATGGTTGTGGACTTTCACATCCCGGAACGGTTCATCAAGGTTAAGTGTCAGGGGGTGCTGGTAAGTGATGATGGTACGAGGAAGGAGAGAGAGAAGGTTATATATTGGTAGAATATAGGGTTTTTGACGTACGGTTCGGTAGAGATGAAGGACGTAGTCGGAAAGCATTAGAAGATGTTCTGATCTGATGAGGGAAGGTCGTGAACATTGCCTATTTGGACAGTCGGAAGCGGGTCATAGATGGTTGGATACCTACTATATCTAGATTGATACTAGACCTAGGAAAAGCGTGATTAATTCCACGGGGTATAAATGACGGTACGAAACCACAACAATGGTTGTCTCATTGCAGATCTATCTGAGCGCGTCGGGTGTACGATATCACTTCTCTATTCGAGCCAAGTAGCCAGCCATATGAACTCTTTTACTCTCTTACCTACCTACCTAGGCATCCAAGCCAGACTCCTTGAAAATAGGACCTATTTCCCTCCCTCCATCCCTCCCTCCCTCCCCGCCATCCACCCGCCATTCCCCGCCCAACTCACAAATCCCACCTAACCACATACCCAAAAACAGTCCTCCTCAACTCCTCATCCCCCCTATCCTCCTCAAACATAACCTTGTCCATCTTCTCCTCCAGCACCTTTTCCACCTTGAACCCGGCCTCTTTGACGCCCTCGAAGAAAGCCATATCTTTATCCAATAACCACGGTCTATACGGCGTGAAGAACACTAACGCTTGCGCGTCCACGGTGCGCGCCATCGTTTTCTTGATCGTCTCGATCAACTTGCCATGCTCCGAGTGATTAAACAGTAAATCCGCCAAGATCAACACCTCGAACCCCCTTTGTCCCTCCTCTCCCTCTCCCTCTCCCAAATGCACCAACAACGATTGCACATCCGCACCCCAGCAATACCCCTCCGCCACGACCCTGCCCTTCGCCACCTCCTCCAAAAGCTCCTCACACGCGCCGATATTCCGCCAGAGGTTCTGCACCAGATCCGCATCCGGATAATCCGACACGACGACCTTCCTTGCGCCCAGCACGCCGCTCACCAGACTCGGCAGGCCCGCGCCAGCCCCAAGCTCCAGCACCGTGCGGTCGCGCACCAGGGCTGGCTGCTGCTCGAGATAGCGCGCGATGAGCCGCCCGCCGTTCCATAGGTGGTGCGCCCATAAAGGATTGTGCCCGACGAGGTGGAGCGTGAGCGTGCGTCCGCTGAGGAGCGTGTAGGTCTCGGTGGTGGGTGGGGGGGTCGGTGGGTAGTAGTCGGCGGGCTCGGTGAAGAGATCGAGTGTCTCGATGTCATCATCGCCTTCTTCTTCTTCTTCTTTTTCTTCTTGTTGTTGCTTTTTGGCTTCTTCTACCTGGGGCCCGGGATGGGGGGCGGCGTGCGACATGGTGGATTAGGGGGGTGGGTCACGTGGGCGGGGTGGGATTCTGGCGGGGTGGTCAGCCTTTTTTTTTTTTTTTTGGCCCTGTGATTGGGATTTGCGTGTTTGCTGAAAGAAGACGCGGAATAATCGCGAGCAGAGGAAGAAACGATGATCTGATGTAGGAGAAGAGAGATTCCTGCTATCTATCTATCCCCAGTGCCACTGCACCTGAAAAGAGACAGACGGGATGAAAAACCACCAAGAACCTTGTAATGAATGGTTGAAAAAGAAACACCTACAGTCAAAACGAACAAACATGCACTTGCATGACTACCCTAATCAATCAAGCAAGTATTCCTCGCCATCTCCGTCACATAAGGTAGGTTAGGTATCCAGAAATCAAAATCCCAAATTCAAGAACGCATCGCAGAATAGTTGTTGGGAAAGCTTTTACATACATTGTCCTGTGCGTGACCGAGATGCTGCTGACCGTTACTATCAAGTTTTCGCTTTCCTTTCCACTCTCCATCTCCATTCTCGGAAATCTTCTTGCGTGCCTGGAAAGCGGGGCACATATCCTGGTTATTCTGTAATACGCAATTTGAGATAATAATAGATAATAATATAATAACAACCGTAATTCTGTAATCCGTCATCGTGGCCTGAGTTAAGGCCTGAGATGTAAGGTAGGTAGGCCAGCCACGCGGACTCGTTTATGCCCGTCTGCCGTGCCACCCGTGACGTGGGACCTCGGCAGCTTATGTAACCAAGAGAGATTAGATAATGGGGTCTGTTTCGGGTTAGCGCCTTCTTGCTGGATCTGTACCTGCGCTGCGATGACCAGGGAGGGGGAATTGATATTGACATCTTCTGCTGTTGATTCTGCTATTTCTTCTGACATTGATCCTGATCTGATCTTGATCCCGATGTTCGAATCTCTCGCTCTCTCTCCCTGTTCGCGCATACATATCAATTCTTGCCCATAACGCCCATCGACAGGGTGCGGGTAGGGAGGAGCCCTTCTGCGGGATCCATGAATCCGGCCTATGGAAACTTGCTCACGATCGTCCCTCTCTTTTCTGCCCTCCCGCCAAGTTGCCAACTGAAGAATTACGACCCTGACGATTGATCCCACCTCTCCAGAACAGAACACCACAATCCTCAGTCGACTCTGCGCCCGTGTGCACCCAGGGCCGCTGCGACGCTGCAAATCTCCTTCACTTTCAAAGTGCAGACCCCGCCACGAGCAATCTGGTACGTCGTCGTTGCGCGACCCCTCGGCCCCGGTCAAAAAAAGCCCCCCCATCACGTCGACAGTCTTGGTTCCTTGAGATACGGGTCTATGGCTTACCTCAGGCTCTCTCGCTGACCTTACGCACCTCGCTGACCTCCCAACTTAACCAGCGCAAATCTGCTCTTCTTCTCAATTGTCTCTCCCACAGTCCACTCCCGCCGTCTCCCTCGATTCCTACCGCCCACACCCCCCCCCGAGGCTGAATGCCCTGGGCGCCCAATTATCAGCCCGCGATTGATCAACGCCCGTCAAACTAGAACGGCTCTAGAAACACCCACGCTGTCTTCCTCCCGCGCAGACACGCAGAGATCTTTGCCTGATCCGCTCATCCTCTCCTGCACAGCTCCGGCTCGCGACCGCTGCGCATGCGGGCGGCGATCCGAGACGAAAAGGCAAAGCCCGATCAGCTTCCCGAAGAGCGCGGAGGCTATTTGGACTTCGTCAGAAGGTGAACGTCTCCGTTTGCAAACCACCGTTACAGCGGCCTGCGTGCTCTTCACGGCGGCCTGCTGATCCGCACAATCATGCCCATTATCAATGGCGTGAAGATGGCCTGGTACGTTTGCTTCTGCCTTCCCCGTGTCGCAAAGCCCGGTCGAGACGGGGACTTGAACCTGTCCCTCTTGCCCCTCTGCTGGCTTGACCCTCGCCCATATCTATCGGACTACACCCTACACAGCTCGTGCTCGATCAAGAGAACACATCCGCAAGCGCTCTTGCTAATCAAATCTCTTCTGTCCCAGTGAGCCATGCATACGAGGCCATCGATCCACGAAATGCAACCATGCCAACGAGAGACTTATGGTTCCTGTGAGGAAGCCGGGCAGGCCGCTCAGTGCGTGCCCTCACCCCCGAGATCAGGCGTGTGGGTGTGGTGGTGTCACTGCTGCCATTCCAAGGAAACATACATGTCATTGTGGAGGCGATACATCAGTTCCAGTCCCGACCCCGATAGAACTTGTCCCACGAGACGGGAATGGGTCCTTGGCTGAAGCGTCTTCTCCTACTAGAGGCCCATCCAAGATCCAGAAGGCATCTGCCCGGCCACAGTCTAACAGGAAGCTGTCTTTCGATCCGGCCAATTTCGAGAGGATGGACATGAACAGCGTCAACATAGTGCCATTTGAACAACGACCTTCCGGCGTGGTGCCAATTCCCTTTCCTAGCGGATACGCGATCAGTGGCACCCCGCAAGAGTATGGATTCATACCCCAGTATGCGAACGTGCAACCACATTATGGCCATCTGCCAATGCAGGCCCCTCCACACATACCCTCGCCGAATGGCAGGATGAATGGTATAACTAATGGCGCCCATCAGAAGGGACTTGGGCATGTGGCAGCAGAGATTTCTATGGGCATGCCCATGGAATTGAAGAATGGCGGGCTGGGTTACAGGGAAAATGGCACCTCGTGCTGCCCGCCGCCAAGTTCAACGAAGGTTACAAATGGGGAAACGAGCGACACGAGCAACGGAAGCAACGAGAGCTCGTGTTGTACACCAAAACAATCAAGTCACAGCCATAACTCGTCTAGTGCGAGCTCAATATCTGAACCTCAAGAACCCAACGGAAGCTGCTGCTCGTCCAATGCCGTGCCGGAAATGGTCAAACCCGAATCGGCATCAAACCAGGGTACTCCGTTAAACATGACGCCCCAGATGGGCCACCAAATACTTCCAGAAAACGGAATGCCCTTTAACCCAGCTCTATATCCTCAGTATCCACCTCACCCTACTGTCTTCACTTACCCTCCAACTTATGGCTCGTTCCAAAACCCTCTTCAACCGTCGGCATGGCGGCAAGGTGTGCGCGCCGTCAGCTACGCAGCTCCTCAATTCCAGAATTCCATGGCTTCGGGTGCCGTACCCTTCGTTACACCTGTCATCCCAGAAACAAACGACACCATTCATACGTGTAGTTGTGGCGATACATGCCAATGTATCGGTTGTGCGGCCCATCCTTATAACGATGCAACACAAGACTACGTCCGCTCCGCTTGGTCCTCTATGGCACCAGAGCGGCGGACAAGTGAACTTTACACCAACGGACAATACTCCAATGGGAATGGGAACGGGAATGGGAATGTGGCGGCTGACGGGTCCCATGGAGTGGAAACTGTCCCCTCTCCAACGGCGAGCACCGCATCCGGCAACGGCGAAGAGCAGAGTCTCTCGGCGTCGGATTTCTTTTTCGTCAACTACCCCTTCTCCCCCGATGGGTGCGGAGGTGATACGCAGAGCTGTCCCTGCGGCGATGATTGTCAATGTCTCGGCTGCACGATACATCGGCAGCCGCCAAGTATGCCATGTGGTGGTGAAAAGGAGATTTGCCCTTGTGGAGATGATTGTGAGTGTATTGGGTGCGAGATACACAAAGGCCGTGTTGGTCTTACGGTTGCATGAGATGTGGGTTATTGGATGGATGGTCTTGCATTGCATTGGCGCGAGGTCGGCAGGCAGCTCGGGGCCGGCAAGTGATCAAAAGGATCGTTGTTTTGGGGGAATACCGGGTATATAGATATGGGCTTTTTTTTGTTTTGTTTTGTTGGGCTTGGGATGATTGATACCCCTCCATTTTACCTTGCGCATTGGGCCTGGCTGCTCGGATGCGGCACGGGTCGCGTTCGTAGACATAATGCAATGTGTTTCGAACAGACAGATGGAATGATAAGAAAGAAGTACGTGAGTGAGAACAATGAAGCGGGGATCGCGGAAGCACCAACCAATGACTGGGGAGAACTCATCAACAGAAGACAGACAGCCAGTCAAAAGGAAAACGCGCACTCCGGAAAAGAAAAGAAAATGTGTGTTGTCAAGGCAAAGAAATCATTTACCCCAATAACAAACAGATTGCAAGAAAAAACCAAGACAAGACAATAATCCGCACAGATGGAACTTTAAAGGCAGTTTTTTCGCCATCGGTTCTAACTTCTAATCAGCTCCCCCCTAAAAGGTGGGGTACCCCGCACTCCAAGAACCGACACCCGCCCGCGTATCTATCATTGATACATTGATAAAAGGGACCTTGGAATCTCGATCTACCTATCCGCTGATCTGATAAAGTCGGCATTATTTCACCAACCTCTGGTTCTTCTTCAGCTGTTTTTTGGTCCACTTATCACTTCTTCAACCCCAGACTCAACTCAAACAAAAGAAACAAAGAAAAGAGAGATGACTCCCAAACTTCCCTTCCAGGTAAGACTATTATTTGAAATAATATATATTCCTCATGACCCCGAAATCATAAAAAAACAAACTTGATCGATCTCAAAAGCAGTCAAGCCAACAATATATAATAGCTCAAGAACCCGGGCTTGTTCAAGGATAAGTCGTATGTGGATGGAGAGTGGGTGGAAGCTAGATCTGGGAAGAGGTTTGATGTTATTGGTAGGTTTTGTTTTTGTTTTTGGGTTAAGAGAGATATCGAAAGCTATTCTCTTCAAAAGGCAGATACTAACATCCCCCAGATCCCGGCAGTGGTCAAGTCTGGGCCAGCGCACCCGACAACGACGCCTCCGACGTGGACCACGCCGTGCTCAGCGCCCACTCCGCCTTCCAGCACTACAAAAAAGTGACACCACGCACGCGGGCACAATGGCTTCTAAAATGGGACGCGCTGATCCGCGAGAACAAGGAGGATCTGGCGCACATCGTGACGTACGAGACGGGTAAGCCGCTGGCTGAGGCGCGCGCCGAGCTCGATTACGCGCTGGGCTTTACGTGGTGGTTTGCTGGAGAGGCGGAGCGCATCGTGGGCACGGTGCAGCAGCCATCGGCGGCTGGGAGGAGGGTGTTTACGGTTAAGCAGCCCATCGGTGTAGCGGCCGCGCTGGTCCCGTGGAATTTCCCCGTTGCGTGAGTATTTATAATGAGTTGTGCGAAGAAAATATGGGGGAGGCGATGACAACGTACGTTGGCTGATGTGTTTTTCCCTTCTAGGATGGTGTTAAGGAAAGCAGGCGCGGCGCTGGCGGCGGGCTGTTGTATGATTGTCAAGCCGTCGCCGGAAACGCCTCTCTCGGTGCTGGCGGTAGCTGAGCTGGCGACGCAGGCGGGCATCCCGAAAGGTGTGTTCAGTGTGTTGACGACGAGTTTGGAGAATACGCCGCCGTTGAGCGAGGCTCTCTGTCGCCATCCGCTCATTAAGAAGGTTACATTTACGGGATCGGTGAGTAATTGTCGTTGATGGAATGAAAGAAAGAGCGCCGCTCCTGACTTTGACAGACCCGGGTTGGGAAATTGGTTGCCAAGTTATGCTCGGATGGGCTTAAGAAAGTGACTCTTGAGCTGGGAGGGAATTGCCCTTTTCTGATCTTTGATGATGCGGATTTGAACCAGGCTGCTGATGGTATGATCCTCTTCTCTCTCTCTCTCTGGCGATAATCATGGCTCAATGCTTACCTCTTCACAGCGCTCATGGCACTCAAATGGCGGCACGCAGGCCAAGCATGCATCACCGCCAACCGGGTCTACGTCCAAAGCAGCATCTACGACCAATTCGCCTTACTTCTAAAAGAGAAGACCTCCAAACTCGTCGTCGGCCACGGCGCCGACCAGAACACGACCATGGGTCCCGTCACGACTCCTCAGGGTATCACCAAGGCGCTCAACCAAGTCGAGGACGCTCGCAAGCACGGAGGCCAGATCGTGCTCGGCGGCGGCAAGGTCCCTGGGAAGACCGGCTATTTCTTCGAGCCGACCATTATTGTAGGCGCGAAGAAGGAGATGCTTATCACTCAGGAGGAAACTTTCGCCCCGGTGCTCGCGCTGTATTCTTTTGACACTGAGGAGGAGGCTGTTGAAGCTGCTAATAACACGAGCGTGAGTTTTCGCCCCTCTCCCCCCCAACCCCCCTTCTGGATGAAAAACCAGCTAATAGAAAATCCTCAATCTAGATGGGTCTAGCATCCTACTACTTCACAAAAAACATCGATCGCTCCTGGCGTCTGCTCGAAAACCTCGAAGCCGGCATGATCGGTATGAACACAGGTAATTCATCCGCTGCCGAGTCGCCATTCGGCGGCATCAAGGAGTCTGGCTATGGCAAGGAGTCCGGGAAGGATGTGGCGGTTGCGGAATATTTGATCACGAAGACTGGTACGTTGGCTTTGGAGGGTCATTATTGAGTGTGTGGTCGGTTTGGGGGGGGGGGGGG